AAAAATATATTTGTTAAGTTGTTAAGTGATTAAAAATTGTGAACATAACTCAGAAAACTTGGTTTATCTTGAAAAAATATCTTTATAGACTTCATTGAACAACGTAAAAAGACGGGGAAATATGTTTCAAATTATAAAAAAGTTCAATCTGAATTTATTTTGATGAACTGTTGTCAATTTTTAAACTAAAAAATATATTCACTCCTACAATTTACTCAGGGTTTCCACGTTAGGTTTTTTAGGTTTAGAATCACTCTAAGTAAATATTACTCTAAAAATTGCGGTATAATATTTTACGGTAAAAATGGATTTTACGAAAATAGATGTTACGGATGATGCTCCCAAAATGCCAGTAATGCACACGGTAATTTTATACAGTGTATAAGTTTATAATTTGACATGCTTTAAACGAAACTTGCTAACTTCGAAAAAGTTTTATGTACATATAAGTATAAATATATAAGTATTCTCTAGCAAATTCTTGCTCTTTTGCAATTCCGCCTAGTGTTAACTCTATATAGTTCAGAGCCTTAGCATATTCTGATCGAAACAAGCTTTTTTTTTAAAAAAAAATTTCGTTTAATATTTTTAAAAGGTATGGACATTTTCTAATTAAAGGATATTGACTTTTTAATATAAAAGAAGTTTCAAATCATTTTTGAGTAATTAAATTATAAAAAATTCGCAAAATGCCCTCCGTTATGCTAGCAATATACCTGCTCTGAATTTAGTGTATTTCTGACTGTACAAGGTTCCTCTGAAAACTTTTTATAAATATTTCATTACGTATAAAGGTATTTTCTAAAAACTCCACTCACATTTTTAATACAATCCGAGTTTAAAACAATCTCTGCATTACAAAAGATTATAAAAGAATTGTCAATGTGTCCTCCTTGATGTTAGCCACCTAGGTGTTCTTAATTAAATGTTTTGGACTAAACAAGCCTTTTTCTTGACGTATTTTGACGCATATGGATAATTTCTAATAAATGGATGCACTCGTTTTTACATAAAATAAGTTTCAAATGAATTCTGCTAAGCAAAAATTATAAAAATTTCGCAATATATTCTTTTAATTTTATTGATATGTATGCTTTGAATTCAGGTATACGAGCTTTTAGCTATATAGTTTTGAACTGTACAAAGCATATTTAAAAAAATTCTGAAAGTCTTCTTCTTTCAAATCCCCATTTCTAGCCTAGCTAGACAAGGTCCATGACATTGTTCACCTTTAAAAAATCTAAAACAAGTAAGGGTCTTTCAATTAAGTATTGTTTTAAATGACCGAGGCAGTCCAGTAGATGTTCAGGGGATGCCTGGGCCGAAGAGCACTTGGTACAGAGGGAAAAGCACTTTTCTCCTCCAGAGTACCTCAGTGATATCAGGTGTCCACAGCGGAGACGTGTGATGGCGGTTTGAGACTGACGGTCTTTGTCAGCTGTCAAACAGCTACCCGGTCTGGTACCCTGGTACCAATTGTGACTGGGTGGAGTGAGCCATGCTGATTTATTTTTGGCTTTAGCAATGGAGAAGAGCTCTGAGGAGGTAAGAGACACTGGAGGCGCAGTGGCCTCAGCTGCACCTGCCTTGGCAAGACTATCTGCCATTTCATTGCCTGATATATCTACGTGTGAGGGTATCCATTGTACATGAATTCGACAATATTTGGAGAGGTGTAAAAGTTTACAAAGGATGTTCGTGCTAGTATTGTCCCTAACTCTGTGCCAGCTAGCCAAGTGCTGAACAGCGCGCCTACTGTCGGTAAGGATCCAAATATCTTTCGGAATTGAAAGAGACAGTATTGAGGCAAGTCCATCATCGATGGCGATAAGCTCGCTCCTAAAAACGAAACAGTGGTCCGGATTCCTTTTCTGGATCTTAATTTCGCTCATCTGCGTTTTTATGAAGATCCCACTCCCGGTGTGATTGTCTTCGTCCTTGCTTCCATCCGTGTATATTTGAGCAGCCTCCGTTGGGATAGTGTAGATTCTCACAAGTGTTGCTTGTCTAAGAACTGCAGGGTGATCATTTTGCTTGTTGACAGCCACCGGGAGATCGGTGTTGAAAGACACCTCCGAAAGACCTTCCGCAGGGTCCTTGCTCTGTTTGAGGAAGTGCTGTTCCACGTTTCCAAAAGTTATGTTGGACGAAAATACTTGGGCTGTAATATTTTACCATGCATGCCCTTCTTCGGAGGCTCAAAGGTTGCAGGTCAGCCTCAATCAGTACAATATCACCAGGACAGGAATTTCGGAGGCCAGTGATGATCCGCGCAGCTCTGAGTTGGATTCTCTCTAGTTTTTGCAGATTTGTATGGGAAGCACAACTGTAGATAGGGAATCCATATTCCAGAATAGGCCGTAAAAGAGTGATGTAGGTGCTTCTAAGGGTCGAGGCATCAGCACCCCAGTCTCTCCCTGATAAGACGTTTCCTTGCCTTTAGTACAAGATGGTCGATGTGTTTATTACTTAGAATCTCTGGATCTAAGACAAATCCTAGATATTTCGGGTGTTTTTCAACTGCAAGTGGTTGATGGTCCAACATGATATGAGGTTGATAATTGTAGAGTTTCCTGTTGGTAGTGAAAAACCCCACTGTGGACTTTGAAGGGTTAAAGCACATTTTGTGACTGGTGGCAAAAGCACTGATGTTAGTGAGTACTCTGTTAATAGTGTCCTCAATTTGTTGTAGGTCAGGGCCTGAATTCTAGAGGACAATATCGTCTGCAAAAATGCCAATGTCGTAGTCTTTAGGTATGATGCTCTCGATTCCTTTCAAAAAGAGTGAGAACAGGGTAGGACTTAACACTGACCCCTGAGGGACTCCTTGGTGTAGTTTAAAGCTTCTAGATTTACAAGTACCATTGAACTTGACTTTGATAACTCTATTCCTTAAAAAATCATAGATCCAATTCAGTGCTCTTCCGTTGATTCCGAAAACATCAAAAAGTTTGATAATTAATTTTTGATTCCACACTCTGTCGAAAGCCTTGGAGAGACCTAAGAAAGCTGCAATGGTATGGTGAGTGGGTTTCTGTTGTGGGCGTCCCTAATCTTTTGGCAGAAGTAGAGCACCTGGTCTGTGGTGCAATGTCCCTCTCTGAAACCATATTGTTCAGGAGGTGAGAGGTTGTTCGCATCCAGATGGTAAGTAAGCCGTTTGAGGATCATTTTTTCTATGATTTTGCAAATAATACTGGTAAGAGCTATTGGCCTATAGCTCCCTGGAGAGGTACTTTCTTTGTTGGGGGTTTGTATTAAGTATATTATAAATATTTTTTGACATATATGGTTGTTTTCTAACGAATTGTCGTTTACTTTGTAATATAAAACATGTTCCAAATAATTCCCGCAAAGTTATAAAGAATGTGCAAAATGTTTCCTCGTATGTCATTGATTTTCACATTCTGAATTTAGAGCTTTCTTTAAAAGATCTTGTGAGTATATCTCTTGACATATGTGGAGAGAGACTTTCTAACAAATTTGCGTTCATTTTTTACCATAAAATAAATTTCAAAAGATTTTTACTTATCAAAAATATTATATGAAATTCTCAAACTTTCTACGCTCCGTTTTGGGAGACCGTAAAAAACATGTCACTACAGTACCGTCATATTAGGTTCCATAGTACTAAAATTAAATGTCTTTCTTAGTACATTTGGTACCTATTAAAACAGAACCTATAGCCACAATAGAAGTTATAATAATTAATTTTAGTAATACCTTTTAATAAAATTAATTATTCAATTGGGTCAATAATATTATGCGTTTTTCTTATAGTTAACAGAAACAATTAATTATCCTTTCTCCATTAAATTTGCCTCTTCGAACCTAACTTGCACTTCAATTGCCCTTGATTTAAAATTACTTAGTTTTATAGAAACACGTTTCAAAAGCATAACTATAAATAAATTTATCACATGGTTTCAGATAACTATAGTAATGCTAATTTGGTGACTAAACCACGTCCACGTTAATTATTGAGCTTAGGTGATGAAATGAATAAAATAAAATTAAATTTAAAACAACGTTCAATACACTCCTTTTTTGATTAAACATAGCTGCAAGTTAGCAAACATTACTAATTTTAGCGTAAAAATTTTTGAGTAAACAGAATCGTCCGTAATTTAATTTAAAACAAAGGCTAATGATAAATCAGTAAAAAAAAATTAAAGACATTTTCCGACCTGTCTCCCGAACGATCTTATTGAAATTTTTAAATTCGCTCTTTTATTTTCTCTATTCTTAAAAACTTTTTCTTTTGTTAATATTGATGTAGTGTTTGTTATATGTAGAATATTAACAATTAACTATGTGTTAGTTTTTAAAGACATTCTTCATTTAAAATAAAAATATTTTACTAAAATTAATTTTTTTGTCTCTACGACGTAATAAAGAAATTACGTCTCTAGCAAATAGTTTTAACAAATGGTTTTAATAGTCCTACGTCACCATTTCCATTCAAGCATTTAGTTTCCCATTACTTCCTTTATTGACATTAGCTATTTTGAATTCAGTTCAAACTCTGCAAAATAATTTTAAAAAATATATTTGTTTTTATTTATGATGTTATCAGTAAAATAACAAACCTAAAAAGATAACAATGACAACAGTGTTATCTCTTACATTTTTTTAGTTTCACAGATATAGTTTTAGTAAAGTACGGTGTATTTTATTTAAACACAAACGTATGACACTAATGATAAAACTATTACAAAATTACTTTATTTAAATTTAATTACACAGGAAAATGCAAAATATACCATTTCTTACACTTTCAATTAGTTTTTAATGATTTTTTTATTTAAAAAAAAACAAGACTCACTTCCTGTGCATCAAACAATCATAAATATGCCTATTTAAAAGTAATTCTATCAAATGTTTGATTCAAAACATGAATATGTAGTTCAGTTATTTATTTTGAAAATTTAGACCTCTTAAAATGAGAATGAAAAATGAAAAGCTGAAAAATATTATTTACAACAGGCTTTCTATTGCAGATTTTTCTAATAAAATACGTGGAAAGCAGCCGAGGAAAAATGAGAAATCAGCATTTTTGTCGAGTGTCTGGCGGTACTTTATTAAATCCGGACAAATTCGCCCTATTTTCATGTGCAAGCTGTTATAGACACATGGATGAACTTCTTTTTGATAATGGGTAAGCATTTCTTTAACTATTTTAAACTGTTTGTCTTTATAACTTAAAAATATTTATGGTGGTTTTTAAAATAATTGAGTCAACAAAATACTCACTACACTCAATTACTTCATAGCATTGTATTATATTTTGTTACGGTTATTATTTTTTTTATATATTTTTATATAAATATTTACATTACGGTAAAATATTTCAAAATATTGTTTTATATGTTGTTTGTAATTATTATTTTTAAATTTCTAAATAAATATTTACATTATTGCAGGATAATTTAAGATATCGTATTTTTTTTTATATATATATTCCCATATAAATATTTAATTGATACATTTTTGTATATATCAATGTATGTTATAGAAATTCAAACAACACTGGGGAATATTTTTGTTTAATTTTATTTCTGTTGAAGTGGATTTTTTAACAGGTCTCAAATACTTTCGTAACATTGGATTAAAAACTGCAATCAGTTTCTCCTTCTAATCTACAGTTTTTTAAACAACATTTTTAGTATGTTTTTAGTCCAAATAAAAAACGTTATACATTGCAGGGGATTAGCATAGTTAGGGCACATTACCAGGATTGAAATTGCATAGCAACCCATGTCCGGAAATATCGTCATACGCCACTAGGGTCGCTTCCCTGATATGAACTGTTTCATCTTGTACTTTTGAATAGATAATAAAAGGAGATAGTGAAGTACCCCCAGCCACGTACGGAGATATTCTCGGGCATAAGTTCGCATGTAATTTTAATGCTGATAATGTGCTCTGTAACTCCCCTAGAAGTTTGTCGCAACGTTTATGTGACCCTCTGTTATATATAACGTTCTTAAACTGAAACATTTCGACAAAAAAAGACACTAAAAATTTAATTTTAAAGGAAATCCGTAGCTTTAGGAACAAAATTTCATATTTGAAATTCCCACACCCGATTTAGGCAAGATCAAGTGTTTGTGTAAATGCAACACAAAATTTGTTCCCCAGTGTATTTATGTTGTGGAAGTATAAATAAATCTGATTAATTTATTGATTTAATGAATAAAATTAATAATCATTATTATTTTCTTTTAAAAAATGTACTGGTTTTAAAATTGTCATAGTGTTTTGATCCACATATTAAATTGCAAGTATATGTAGCTGAAGTACCACTTCTTAAAATCGGAGAAACTAGGATCCAAAATCAGATCCAGTCTTTTTTCTAAACTTAAAAAATAAAAAATCTACATTTTTCAACAAAGTTAACTTCAAAATTTGTTTTCAATAAAGTGTTATGTTCGACAAAGTGTGAATAACGATTTTTCAGTGCAAAGCCAATTTCTTGATCGCGCTCAAAAAGCAGGCTTTTAGCTGAAAAATCTTTAAATTATTTCTTTATGAAAGTTAAAATCTTAGTAAATATTAAATATAATTTAAATTTCGCTTATAATTCGTGATTATTTTGCATTAAATTCAACTTTTTTCCCCTAGTTCTTTCTCTCGTTTACAAATTCACATTTTTATAGTATCTTCGTAACGCTTGGCTACTATTATATCATAGTTTCTGGTACAAACGTCTTAAAACATTTCATATTTTTAATCTCACTCTACATCTCTAAAATTTTAAAATATCGAATCAAAATGTCAAATTTTATCTCAAAAAATGAAAATAGGTGTTTTGTTTCTTCAAAATACCTACTTTTGGTGCAACCTTCTACTGATATTTGGTGCAACCTTCTACTGATATTTGGTGCAACCTTCTACTGATATTTGGTGCAACCTTCAACTGATATTTGGAGCTAGTGAAAATACCAAAATGTGGTAAAATTTAGCTCCATTTTATGTAGCCAGCAAATTAATACCAATTTTTGGTGCAACATGACTCAGAATTTTTAACAGTGTAAATGGCAGCACTATACAGCTGCATAACCTCCAACTGCTACGGAATTTCCGTAGTTTCAGAAATCTTCTTTTCAGACGGTAGCAAAATTAATGTCTTAATATTTAAAAAAAATTTATTTTAGCGTAACTTGTCCACTATTACTTATAAAAGTGCAGGCCATATGGCTAGATTCTTAAGTTCTGATAAAAGTTTTATGAGAGATCCATTTGCTTTAAAAATTTCTACTTTGGTTCGCTACCACTAGAAAGAATTATTTTCAAAATCTNAAAATAACAAACCTAAAAAGATAACAATGACAACAGTGTTATCTCTTACATTTTTTTAGTTTCACAGATATAGTTTTAGTAAAGTACGGTGTATTTTATTTAAACACAAACGTATGACACTAATGATAAAACTATTACAAAATTACTTTATTTAAATTTAATTACACAGGAAAATGCAAAATATACCATTTCTTACACTTTCAATTAGTTTTTAATGATTTTTTTATTTAAAAAAAAACAAGACTCACTTCCTGTGCATCAAACAATCATAAATATGCCTATTTAAAAGTAATTCTATCAAATGTTTGATTCAAAACATGAATATGTAGTTCAGTTATTTATTTTGAAAATTTAGACCTCTTAAAATGAGAATGGAAAATGAAAAGCTGAAAAATATTATTTACAACAGGCTTTCTATTGCAGATTTTTCTAATAAAATACGTGGAAAGCAGCCGAGGAAAAATGAGAAATCAGCATTTTTGTCGAGTGTCTGGCGGTACTTTATTAAATCCGGACAAATTCGCCCTATTTTCATGTGCAAGCTGTTATAGACACATGGATGAACTTCTTTTTGATAATGGGTAAGCATTTCTTTAACTATTTTAAACTGTTTGTCTTTATAACTTAAAAATATTTATGGTGGTTTTTAAAATAATTGAGTCAACAAAATACTCACTACACTCAATTACTTCATAGCATTGTATTATATTTTGTTACGGTTATTTTTTTTTTATATATTTTTATATAAATATTTACATTACGGTAAAATATTTCAAAATATTGTTTTATATGTTGTTTGTAATTATTATTTTTAAATTTCTAAATAAATATTTACATTATTGCAGGATAATTTAAGATATTGTATCTTTTTTTATATATATTCCAATATAAATATTTAGTTGATACATTTTTGTATATATCAATGTATGCTATAGAAATTCAAACAACACTGGGGAATATTTTTGTTTAATTTTATTTTTAATTGAAGTGGATTTTTTAACAGGTCTTAAATACTTTCGTAACATTGGTTTAAAAACTGCATCGGTTTCTCCTTCTAATCTGCAGTTTTTTAAACAACATTTTTAGTATGTTTTTAATCCAAATGAAAAACGTTATACATTGCAGGGGATTAACATAGTTAGGGCACATTACCAGGATTGAAATTGCATAGCAACCCATGTCCGGAAATGACGTCATACGCCGCTAGGGTCGCTTCCCTGATGTGAACTGTTTCATCTTGTACTTTTGAATAGATAATAAAGTGAGATAGGGAAGCACCCCCAGCCACGTACGAAGATATTCTCGGGCATAAGTTTGCATGTAATTTTAATGCTGATAATGTACTCTATAACTCCCCAAGAAGTTTGTATCAACGTTTACGTGACCCCTAATATATAAAACGTTCTTATACTGAAACATTTCGAAACTAAAAATTTAATCTTAAAAGAAATCCGTAGCTTTAGGAACAAAATTTCATATTTGAAATCTCCACACCTGATTTAGGCAAAGATCAAGTGTTTGTATAAATGCAACAAAAAATTTGTTCCCCATTGTATTCTATGTTGTGGACGTATAAATAAATGTGATTAATTGATTAATTTAATGAATAAAATTAAAAATCATTATTATTTTCTTTAAAAAAATTACTAGTTTTAAAATTGTGATAGTGTTTTGTTCTGCGTATTAAATTGCAAATATTTGTCGCTGAAGTATAACTTCTTAGAATCCGAGAAACTATGATCCAAAATTCCAAGTAGTTCTTTTTCTAAACTTAAAATGCAAAAAATCTACATTTTTGACAAAGTTAACTTCAAAATTTGTTTTTAATATAGTTTTGTGTTCAATAAAGTGTAAATAACGATTCTTCAGAGTAAAGCCTATTTTTTGAACACGTTCAAAAAACAGGCTTTTAGCTGAAAAATCGTTAAATTATTTCTTTATGAAAGTTGAAATCATAAAATTAGAAAGTTAATATCAAATATAATTTAAATTTCATTTATAAGTAGTGATTATTTTGCATTAAAACCACCCTTTTTTCCATAGTTCTTCCTTTCTTTTACAAACTCACATTTTTATAGTACCTTCCTAACACTTGGCTACTATTATATCATAGTTTCTGGTACAAACGTCTTCGAACATCTCATATTTTTAATCATTCCACATCTCTAAAATTTTAAAAATAGAAATGAAATGTCAGATTTTGTCTCAGGAAATGAAAATAGGTGCTTTGTTTCTTCAAAACGCCTACTCTTGGTGCAACCTTCTACTGATATTTGGTGCAACCTTCTACTGATATTTGATGCAACCTTCTTCGGATATTTAGTGCAACCTTCTTCTGATATTTGGTGCAACCTTCTACTGATATTTGATGCAACCTTCTTCTGATATTTGGTGCAACCTTCTAATGATATTTGGTGCAACCTTCTACTGATACTTGGTGCAACCTTCTACTGATATTTGGAGCTAGTGAAAATACCAAAATGTGGTAAAATTTAGCTCCATTCCTTGTAACCAGCAAATGAATACCAATTTTTGGTGCAATGTGGCTCAGAATTTTTAACAGTGTAGATGGCAGCACTATATAGCTGCTAAACTATCTCCATTGTCCAGTTAAATTTCATTTTTAAGGTTTTGAAACCATTTTAGTTAGAAATGGTTAAAAAAAAACAGTATAGTTTTACATTCAAAGTTTTTTAACCATACTAGTTATAATCAGTTTCAAAACCGTAAAGGTCAGAAAAGTGTTCTTTACCGTAAACTTTACGGTTAATTGGATGGACGGATTGCTGGCGGCTATTTTACATTAATTTTAGAATAAAAGTTCTAACAGTGATTTATAACCATTATTATCTTTTTTTCGTTCCGGTGAACATCTTACTTCCCTTATTATGTTTAACCTTGGGCACCTAAAATACTGACACTTTGTTTCTTCCCTCGCATGCTTACAAAAATAGCGAGTAATTTTTAATTATTCTGAACATCCTTCCAATCTGTTCCAGAACAAAACTTGTGCTAGATGGCACGGGAACGGGTCTGAGAAACGTCAAAACAAACGAAGTTTATGAAGCCACCTACACAGACCCATCAAGTCCCATCTTCAAAACATTTAAAACGACAAAATTGAAAAATTTATGGATCAAATGCTGCAAAGCAGCGGTAGAATGCTGCGACATGATGACAAGTACCCCTCCCTCACAAGGTGAGAATTTCACTTAAACTGATTTTATTACTTCTTGTTTCCTTTTTCTTTTTTTTTTATCAAAAGCATGCAAAGTATGGTACATTCATGCAGTTATTGCTTATAAAGGTGTTTTTATATTTTTGTACATATATTCTTTTATATTTTTAATAGGTCGTTAAAAATAAATATCTCTTTTTAGAACATTGAAAAATTAGAATTTAAGTACAAAGTTCTGATCATTATATCATATTATGCAAATTTCACTCACATAATGTTTGGTTAACTCGTGTGCACAAGTGTAGCATTCAGTACAATTAGAATAGCATTAAATTCAAAATTCCGGACCAAACTGATCAATAAAATACCCGAATAAGTGAGACAATGAGTTACTGCACTGAGAAAAAAAAGTGGTCAAACCTACCTACATGGTAAAATTTACCGCGTTTCTGGTTCTATGGAAATACCAAAAAAGCTCGAGAATTTTTACCGCAGTGGTGATAATTTTAGTAAAATTAACAATAAAATATATTTTATTGAAATAAGATAAAATTTGATCAATATGGTAAATTTTTTTAATTTCATCATGATACTTTAGAACATGGCATGAAGTCCATTTATTCCGTTAAGTTAACCATTCAGTTTTGCATTTTTGACTAAATGTCTAGTTATAAGAACTGTAATTTTGAAAATCAGATTTTCCGGTATCATTACCATACAAACACAAAAATTACCAAATGAATGGTTTAAATGCAGTATATTTTGTTCGTAATACCAAAATTTCGATTTTTTTTTTTTTAAAGAAATTTCATTGCCGTCCAGTATGGCAATTTTACCAGAATTTTTTCCTCTGTGTGATATTTAGTAAAGATTTAAGAGAAAAATCTGTATTATTTACTGAATTGTTGTAAGTATTTTTTAATATGATAACTTATTTAAAGCTAGTAAGAAGCACTATCTATCTTATCGTTATTATCACTGTGCAACAAATTTAAACTTTTTTTTCTGTCCCCTGAATAAAGCTATGTTATTCTATATAAACAAATAATACTTGATTCATATGTCAAAACCCAAATAATCCATCACGTACTGCTTTTACAGGGGGAAAGTAGACCAGCGTTTATTATTTTATTTTATAACAGTCGATTTTTTTTACTCGTACCGTTATTTTATAACAATTTTTTTAACACTCGACCCAATTCTGAGATACTACTATCAATATTCAACTCCGTAGCCTTGTTATTTTAAACCAAAGAAAGAATAACAAGACCAAATATTCAGAATCAAGCATTGAAACAAACAAACCTTCGTAGAGAACATTTTGTAAGAACTAACCAGCATTTACGTTAGGAGGAGAGAAAAACCAGGTAAACCTCTCACGGTTAGCCCGATAGCAAGGGGGTACTCTAACTCATTATTCGTCTACCACTGAGGATATTTTACATCAGCTCTATGGTTGGTGCGAGCCGGGTTCAGAATTCGTATAAACTAGCTACCACTGGAATTCGAACCTGAGGTATCTCATTGGGAAGCGAACGTTCTATCCCCTCAGCCAGCGTTTTTTTTCCCTTAATAATTGGCGTTAAACCGCGGACCCAATTCTGAGTTTACGGATATCAATGTTCAACTCCGAAACCTTGTAATTTTGAACCCAACCCGGAAGACAAGGGAGCTTCTGTATTAAGTATTACGAGAAACTAACCATGTTGGAGGACGTTCTGATATTCTGACTAACAAGTATTTGCTTTACACGGGAAAAAAACCGCGAAAACTACCCCGGTGAGCCCAAAAGCAAAGAGACTCTAATCTATGATCCATCAACCACTGATTTTACGTCAGCACTGTGGTCGGTGCGAGCAGGGAGTATAATTTGTATCAACACGCCACCGCTGGAACTAGAACCTGGGGAACCTCATTGGGAGGCGAACGCTCTATCCCCAGAGCCACCGCGACTCCTTCACCAAGCATTTTGTGAATTCCTTGAGATCTCACACACACATTTCTTAATGCATCTAGGAGCTCAAAACTTCGAGAGGGTAGATGAAGTTATTGTCGCCAAGATCGCCAAGTTAGTGATGGTCCTACTGTTCATGAGGTCCCCTTCCCTTTTCCTTTACGGTGTTATTGTGTGCCATTGAAATACATAAAGTCACCAAACTAGGTAGAAAAGTATGTAATTGTTACACAAATTTCAGTGAATAGTAATTATTAAGGTGTTATTACGTGAATTACACAAATCATAATTACTGATTAAACAACTACTGTTAAAAATTTACTTGAAACGCATAATTTCATCGAAAAGGCATTGTTATAGACAAGAGAAGATATATTGATTAAAAAAAGTTATAAAATAGATGTATTAATTAAAAAATTAACCTTAAAATTTCTTTTTAAAAAATTATCCGGAAATCAGAATTATTTTTTTAATTATCTTATAGATCCATATGTTTGTCCTCGTACTTGGGATGGTTGGAAATGTTGGCGAGATTCTCCACCGGGCTCCGTCCAGATGGAAAGATGTCCATCTTACATTTACTTTCACAGTGATGAACCCCAATGCTCACGTAAGTTATCTAAAAATGCTATTATACTTTAATCAAAAAATCTTAATTGTTGTTAAGAGTAACATACTCTTTGAAAAGAAATCCATAAGCATTTTCTCCTTAACGTACACATAAAAATTCTCAATAACTTATAAGTTGAGTTGGATTATAACATTATGTATAGCTTTAAGTGTAAGGTTTACATTTCCCTCTCTGAAAAATCATTTGATTCCAGATGTAAATTTTATTGGGTAAAGAGGCACAACACGAAAAATTGTATAGTTTCATCTGCTGCAAATAAATAAGTTGTATCTGATTTGATTTAAATGATTAAATTGAAGTTTTAACTTATAAAAAGCTTCAAATTAATATATTGCATAATTGCATTTCATTCAAGTAATTAACTTGTAGTTGATTTTATTTAAATAATCAAATCTAAATTTTAATGGATAAAGAGAAAAACTTAAAATGAATGCATCTTCTTTAAGTATTTAAATAATCAGATCTGAATTTTAGAAGATAAAAGACCCAATTTAAAAAATTTTGTTATTTAATCTATTTCAATTAAATTTACGTTTAGTTTGATCTAAAAGATCAAATTTAATTTTATTGAATAACGATCTACAAATCGAAAAATTGCATAATTCGTTGCATCCCAGTCAAATAAATAAATTGTTCAACAAAAATAATGAATAATAATTTGAAAACGCATTCGTAATTAATAAACCCTTTTTAGCTTATATCTTAAGTAAACAAGTTTTCAACAAAAAAATTAGGATTAAAATCAATGCTGCTGATTAATTAGGATCAGTGGATGTGGGTTCGAATCCCACCGTTGGCATGGATGTAACTGTCTCTCTCTCTCTCTCTCTGTTCTATGTCCTTTCTTCTGTGTAAATGTAACTCGCCCTATAAACGGGTTTGTATGACGTGGCGACGCTACTCCACTGCCGTGGCATAGCCACAAGTGCCCGCTGGGTAACGGTAAGAGAGTAGCAATTCTGGTATTTCTGAGGCCAATGGGAAATTGACCCAAGTACCGCCATTAAAAAAAATATTTAAATATTAAAAAAGGTAGAATGTACTTTTAGCTCAGTTGTGTTGCAGATTTCGGTCTACATAGCTCAATGTGCTACAGCAAATATTGGGTAACTGCAACACAACATGATACATCAATACTTATTTTCATGGTTACTTTTCCACCAATTTTTAGTAAATTTTTTAATTCTGTAAATTTTTTATTCAGTAAATTTTTTAATGTAAGTAATTAAAATTTATAATTTTTAGTATAATGTGAAAAAGTTCCGGATCAAATTACGCTAAAAAGTACCGGTAGAATTTACCGTAAAATCCATTTTCACCGGAACTGAACAGAATTTTTACTGAACAAAATATTTGATATACCGTAAATTCTACTGTAATAATTACCATAAAATCACTGAATCATTTTAATTAAAAAATATATAACTGTAAAAATGAAAAATTACAGTATAATATTTTACGATAAAAATGGATTATACGATAAAAATTGATTTTATGTTAAAAATGAGTTTTACGGTAAAAATGAATTTTACGGTATAATGGATTTTATGTATTACGTATTACAGAGTGCAGATTTGCTAATTTGATTCGAAATTTTTTACAATGCAATGTATGAAGGCTATTGTGCTCTTTACTTTTTTAATTGCAATTGCTGTGAATAAAGAAAAATCATGCACACTCTCAGAAATAAAATTCTCCCTTTTGACGATTCAGCAATCTTCCGTTAATTTTGAGAATCATTACATCACGAAGTCACGTAATTTGAGACGAAACTCGAACTCTCAAGTATATGACGAAAATGTTTCCTCGTCATTTAAATGTGCGAGATGTGTTAACTAGAATGACGAAACTGGAATGAAGACTAGACAATTGAAAATATAGTGACAGAACAAGCCAATCGACTTGCATTGTGGTCATGGAGTACGACTCGAACCAGGATGATCACGGGTTAGAACCCCGCTTCGGGCATAAGTCTATGTCTCTCTGTTCTATTTATATATTTTCTCTCTGTTCTATGTGACCTTCTTGTGTTGTATAAGTGACATTGCTCCACTTATACTGTGCACGCGAAGTGATAATTAGAAAAGGGAGATACATTAGGAGCTACGAGGCCCTTTTTGGAAGAAAAAAGTAGAACATCGAAATATTTCTTTAATTTTGACGAAATTTGTTTCCTTTAAGAAATGACGACAGTTATTTCGTCACTTTGATGAAATTTTTGCTCGGAGCATGAATCAGGTAATGATTTCGTCAGAGACGAAGAAAGTTTCGTGAAGTTTAAGTATCCATTTTTTAACTTGCTGCGAAGGTTGAAATTTTAAAAAAAAAAACGGAATAATAAACTGTCGAAACGGAATTTTTTTTACAGTGAACTTCTGTTTCTAATATTATAAATTCTTACTAAAACAGTTAAAATTAACTCATTTATATTAAATCATTTACTCTCGCTGTAGTTGTAAGCATTTCATTTAGTCATGACTGAATACCAATAGCAGTCTATTTCAAAGCAAAATGACTCTAATTTCAGCAATCATACAACACATCGATAATTCAAATACACCAGATTTTTCGACAATTCTGATTTTAAATTATTTTATATAAAATATTCAATCATTTTAAATTTTTTTAAAATTAGCAAATTCCCAACACTATTTTTTCACATGTATTAATAACAATCTTTAGTTTCACTTTTTCGCACAATAGCATAGCATAGCAGTCATTTATTAAAATTGGCTGCAGTAAGTTTCCTTCAGCCAATAGTTCACAAGATCAATAGTTAAACCCTTTCATCTGTTGTCCGATTAAATTGAATCTATAGTATTGCAGACACAGGAATACGTAAACAATCCTTTATTGGAGAGCAAAGCACATTCCACAAATAACTGCCTAATCAATATCATATATATACGTTTATAACAGACCATGGATATTAAAAGATAAGATTAATCTCAACAAATTTATAACCTTTATACTACGAATTATTTTAGATTACGTTATATTTATTTAATACCTATTAATGTGATAAAAACATTGCTAAATTTGGAATCATTATGTTTTTTTTTAATTTCTAGAAATTTAATATAGTTTCAATTAAACGAAAGTTAATCTACCCCGATAAACTAAAATTTCTATTTATTTCATATTATTCTATATTTATGCATTAAAAGCAGAATATCTAACTGTTAAGAACAAGGCTAAATTTTAAAACATAATATTGTTTAAAATTGCTGCAAATTTATTAGAAAAAGTTATAACGGATTTGTTTTAGTTTTAATAAAGTAATGAATTTAGCGATAGTGACTTGAGCTCAAGAACTACAATTTTTTCCTGTCCAGTAACAGCTCTACCACAAATTGTAATGCATTAATTTCGAAATGTTTTTTTTTCTAGATAAATAATGTGATTACCTGTGTTTTTGACAAAAATTTTATGTCTTATCTTTTTATCTTATTATCTTTTGACACATTTTCAAAAAAACAATGAATTAGAACTAAATAAATTATATGAAAATAACATTAACATTGAATTTTTGAAGAAAAATTCTAAACATTCTCAATTAAATCTTAGTAAAAATAAAAAATTTATACTTAGTTCAAAACGTCGCCAATATTACATGAAATCTGGATACAAAATATCAAAGAATTTTAAATTGAACTTTTATTATAATGTGTGTTAGCATAAAAAAAAAATTTCTCAAAATCAACCTTCTGCATTTAAAATGCAAGAGAATTCTGAAATGTAGGAAAATTTTGAGAACAAAAAAAAAATTCATAATTCAAAAATTAGTTTCTGAAAATGAATTCTATTTCTCTTAAAAATATAATTTATTGAAATAAAAAAAATTTAAATATTCAAAGCAAAAAAAAAATAGTTTCGTTTTCGGGAGTTTACTTCCGTTATCGGTTTCGTCTACCCGGATGCGAAAATGACGTCATTTCTAAAACTCGGAGAGAAAAGATATAAAGGGTTTCGGGAAGCTAATGAACTGATGTTCAAATGTAGATAGTAAAAAAAATCGGAATTTTCGTCGAAATAGTCGATTTTCACCCAGACATCAGCCAGTCCCTCATAATGGGCCCCAAGCAAACACTTATTTTACTTCCTGGTACGACCACAGCTGACCCTTACTATGCCCTTCGAATACTAAGTCAAATTGCAATGCTGTTTTCCCCTCAAGATGCAATCTTAATAAATGATAAATGCCACAGTTATTACATCATTGTATTTTTAAGAGAAAAAAGCCTGTTATTTATGGGGCCTTTTGGGGGCAATTTTTTAAAATGAAAACAGTTTTTGACCCTTTATTTGATCATCAGATCCTTCTCTTATTAACAACGATCAAATTTGGGTCGTGTCTAAACTTCTAAGCATTCTACAATAAGTAGATATAACACCAAACTACATCACTTATACTATATATCTTTCCTAATTTTAAATTACCTCCTTAATTACAAATATCATTCACAGCTAAGTTGTAATTGATAATTAAGAGATGACAGCTACTGCGGATTTTCTGTAATTTCTACGGATTTTAATTAAAATGACAGTGTTGTACAAATAGAAATTTAGCAGCGTACACAATTTAAAAAAAAAAAACTCTCAAAATTGGACTAAAATGCATCAAAATAGCTCCAACAGTCGAATTTGAAAGCTCCGTGTATTCAAAATTAAAACAGCATATGCTTATATTTAAACAAAATGTGATGGGAAGGAAAAATGTGTGCAAGAAATGTTCGTTGTCTGTCAGCAGGATTTGGACCAAGGAACTACAGGTTTGTAGTAAGATGCTCTGACCAAAGGAGAAGTCCAGCTCTCCGAATAAGTAACGAGGAACTGCTGGGTACGGCATGCTCTACCAAGAAAGTAACTTACTGGAAAAACAACGTGCTCAGATTTCGAAGGGTATCGTATGTACTGAGAATCATAGCATGCGCATAAGAAGCATATTGACAGACAAGATCTATGTTACCTGAAACGATTGTGCGTCGGACGAGCTGCATCNCCCTCGGTCCCTACGCAGACTGATCCAAGTGGTCACCCACCCGCACACTGACCGTAGCCAGTGATGCTTGACTTCGGATATCTGCTGGGAACCGTGTCTTAACGATCAGTCCACTGCGGGACGCTGCAAATTTATTAAAACGGAAAAATTGTAACGTATTTGCTATAGTTTTAATAAGGTTATGAATTGAGCCATAGTTTCAAATATCTTTACAAATATAGAAAGTAAATATGCATGAATTTTTGCAATAAAAGCTTCAAATAATAAATTCAGGATATGTCGATAATGCAAGATTTGGGCAATGTTGCCAAATAATAAACACAGATGCACATTTGCGCATTTATAATTAATATATGTGCACATTCTGCATGTGTTTTTCCTAGCTTTGTAGTGATTAAATATAAATTTCGAAATTCACACTAGGAATTACAATATTTAAGTAGTCAAAATTTGCATGGATTACGATTCAAACTTTTCCGATCATTATTAAAATATTAACAATAATAAGAGATAATTCCATGCAAAATACGAATTTTAGTAAATATTCAGTAAATATTTAGTAAATATTTAGTAAATATTTAGTAATTTATTCAAAAGTAGTCAAAAAAATTTAATTGAAACGTATACACTTTTACATAATTTTAAAGAATGTAGTTTTAAATGGCCAAATACAAAATTTGAGTGAAATTGGTCAAATAGTTCCTGAGAAATCAAATTTTGAAAAGGTCGTATGTCGTTCGTCGGGGGGGGGGATGCTTATTCAGAGATCTTACGTTTTTGTGTCTGATATCGTAACTTAAAATATCGTCTTCTCTAGTTAATTAACATAAAAATATATTTGAGATCATCACCTTCAGTGGGTCGATAAATGAGTACCAAGCATGCTTGGGAACTAAACCTGGGGGTTCCGCGTTCGGCTGACCACCTGACCGGAACATCTGCTTCTGCACCCCAGAGCCCAAGGTCAAGAAAACTGAGATGGGCACAGTAGGCCTTGGCCCTCTAGGGCTGTCGCGCCGCTGAGTTTAGTTTTTTGATTTTCAATATATTTTAAGGTGCCCGACTAATTTCGATACAATTTTGTTTAAAAAAAAGCTCAATTGAAATTTTAATTTTAATTTTGGTAAGCAGGGGTCCAAAAATTATAAATTTAAAGAAAAATTTAAAATGCATAAATTATTTTTTTAAAATAAGGGCAAATTTGAGCTCATAAACTATGATTTTTTTTCTGCTTAGATACAACTCTACCACAAAATGTAATGCATAAATTTCGAAATGTTTTTTTTTCGAGATAAATAATATTAACCTGTGTTTTAAACAAAATTCTTAAAAAAAATTTCGAGAAAACAGTAAAATATAACTAAAAGTATTGTTTAATACTTAATTTTTAAGGAAAAATTCTAAATATTCTCAGGTAAAGCTTAATAAAAGTAAAAAATTCATACTTAGTTCAAAAAGTCGCTAATATTATATAAAATCTAGATACAAAATATCAAAAAAAATTTATATTGAACTTTTATTGTAATGTGTGTTAGCATTAGGAAATTTTCTCAAAATCAACCTTCTGCATTTTAAATGCAAGATGCAATTAACCAATGCAATTTAAATGCAAGATGCATTTAACCAATGCATTTAAAATGCAAGATGCATTTAACCAGTGCATTTAAAATGCAGGAGAATTCTGAAATGTAGGAAAATTTTGAGAACAGAAAAATTAGCTTCTGAAAATGAATTCAATTTCTCTTAAAAATATAATTTATTCAAATAAAAAAAGGTTAAAATACTCAAAGCATAACAAAAAAATTTAATTTCGTTTTCGGAAGTTTACTCGGTGGCTATGGTTTACTTCCGTTATCGGCGTCGTCTACCAGCGTACGAAAATGACTTCATTTCTAAAAATCGGAGATTAAAATATAAAGGGTTCTGGGAAGCTAATGAAGTTCAAATGTAGATAGTAAAAAAATCGAAATTTTCGTCGAAATAGTCGATTTTCACCCAGACATCTGTCAGTCCCTCATAATGGGCCCCAAGCAAACACTTATTTCACTTCCTGGTACGACCACAGCTGACCCTTACTATGCCCTTCGAATACTAAATCGAATTGCAATGCTGTTTTCCCCTCAAGATGCAATCTTAATAAATGATGAATGCCACAGTTATTACATCATTGTATTTTTAAGAGAAAAAAGCCTGTCATTTATGGGGCCTTTTTGGGGCAAATTTTTTTGATGAAAACAGTTTTTGACCCTTTATTTGGTCATCAGATCCTTCTCTCATTAACAACGATCAAATTTGGGTCGTGTCTAAACTTCTAAGCATTCTACAATAAGTATATATAACACCAAACTGCATAACTTATACTATATATCTTTCCTAATTTTAAATTACCTCCTTAATTACAAATATCATTCGCAGCTGAGTTGAAATTGATAATTAAGAGATGACAGCTACTGCGGATTTTCCGCAATTCCTACAGATTTTAATTAAAATTACAGTATTGTACAAATAGAAATTTAGCAGTGTGCACGATATAAAAAAATAGCCTCTCAAAATTGGACAAAAATGTATCAAAATAGCTCCAACAGTCGAATTTGAAAGCTCCATGTATTCAAAATTAAAACAGCATAAGCCCATATTTTAACAAAATGCATAGTCTCAAAAGTGATGGAGAGGAAAAATGTGTGCGAAAAATGATCGTTGTCTGTAGGCAGGATTCGGACCAATGAACTACGGGTTTGCAGTATGATGCTCTGACCTAAAGGAGAAGTTCGGCTCGCCAAATACGTAACGAGGAACTTCTCGGTATGGCATGCTGTACCAGAAAAGTAACTTACAGGAAAAACAACCTACTCAGATTTCGAAGGGTATCATATGTACTAAGAATTAGCACATGCACATATGAAGTAAATTGACAGTCAAGATCTATGCTACCTAAACCGATTGTTTGTCGGGTGCGCTGCATTCTGGTTTCCGTTCCTGATTGATTCCTTCTTTTTACCTCAAAACGTGCTGGCAGATATTTATCGATATGGCTGATATAAATGAATTCTCAAACAAAGATCTTAATAAGTCGTGCAAAAATGCTGCAACAGTCAAACCATAAATAAAAAGAGAAAACGTATCCTCTCCTCCCCAACCCTAGCAGTGGTTGAAGGAGAGGTGGATGTAAACCTGTCTTAAGAAGAGCCTCTACTGCTATGCCCCTGAATGTTGCTTTTTACTTTATACTTAGGAACCGTACCAACCCTAGGAGACACGTTTACTATGTGTCTATGGAAGCTAACCTTCTTTTCCTCTACATATTCTTCGCTCTAACTACCATATACATCCCAATCTAGAGACATTTCGGAAACTCTATATTGTGGCCACCGCTATGATATGTCATAACATACTAATTTCTAATTTCAGTGGTACAAAGGGTTGCAATCTGTTAGATATGGTTCCAATAGCTTAGTCAGGAGATTAGTAATTTTAATTTCACAATTTTTTGCTTATTTCGCTAAATCTTTGAAACTTTTAAGCAAATTGAATGTATGTCATGAATGTATGCAGCTAAAGTAAATTTTTATTTTGTAGACTATGCAACTAAAACTTGTTGGGAAAATGCCACTTGGTTTAGAAACTACAAAGGAAATGAATACAGCGATTTCTCTACTTGTGGTCGAGGTGAGGTAAGAAAAGGTTAAAGAAACAAAATTCCATCCACAATATATTGTTGTAGTTGTCACTTATGCCACATGCCAATACCAGTAAGCCTGTTTGAAATCAAGCGAATTTTAAGGCAGATGGTGCTTTTCTTGTCTTTTCAGTGACGCCATCTATGGCCAAAAGTATCTCCTTGGCTATTTACACGTCACAGCCCATTTAACCTTAATCCATTAATTCATTCACAGATCGTAATTTTGATCTGCAACCAGAGAACGATCAATCTCCAATTTAATACCCCCAGAGGTATTGATTTGCAATGGAAATTTGGAGTACTTTGTGACCCCGACAGATTTAACGTGCACCAGTCACCATTTAACACAGAAGGTTCTTAGGTCGGTGGAATTTGAACTCACGTTCTCACGAACACGACCCCAACATCATACCAGTCAAGATATCTAGGCCTTATTCACAATATTGATAAAGCGTTTAAAATATTTTATTAAAAAGTAAATCAATGGTTTCAATTTTAATTATTTTGCAAAATTTTCAGTTTGTAAAAAGAAACTTGCAAAAAGTTTTGATTTAAAAAATGCTTCGAACTATGACAGAAACATTAACAGGTTTAGTGATAATGATATAAGTTCAGTAATATAGTTCAATGTTTATTGAAAGTATGCGTCTTTTAAAAAATCAATGCTGCTGATTAATTGGGTACTTGCAACTTGAGAAGAAATGAAGTAATTATTTCTAACGATGAAACTTAAATCAGATTTAATTGGATGCTGAAAGCGACGTCACGCGTGTGCGTCGTACTTGATTGGCTTCTGAATCGACAAATGCCACGATTTACCCTATGATGACGTCACTTCTAGGTATCTAATAACAGTATTAAACATTTTTTTTAATTTCATTTTATAATAATACCTTACAAAATGTTACGGAAAGACTTAAAGTTCGAAAAGTTACAAAAGTAAGAGAATTTCTAACAAGCTCAACCGTGATATTCATCTTCAAATGTTAATAAACATTCAAACATTTGTTTCTAATCCCCGAATTCAGGGAAACATAAAAAAATTTAACAAGCTAATTTACTTACAAATAAAATCGTAATGTTCATTTTTGTGTAAAATAAATATTCAATTCTACGTATTCAATATAATTTTTAAGAAAATAAAAGCGTTGCCACAAGTTTTAAGTATTACTATAATTTTATGGTTTACTTTTTTAAAACATGATAATTTTCAGAAATGCAAAACTTGTATTTAATCATATACTTTGTAGACTTTAAATAGATTCTGAGTCTTACAAAAAATTTTACAAAAAATCGTTTGAAACGGCTAAAAGAAAATTCTTTTATGGATAATTGATTTTCTAATGTAGAGACAACGCTACACTATTTTTCTTTTTTTTTACGCTATTTGTTATCGCTAAGAATTATTCTCCAATTTCATTCCGCTTGAACTTCTTGTTTTTGTAATGACTGGAGGCACTCTTCAAAGTGCTAGAGAAACCCCAATAGTTCTCGAGAACACCTTTGAAGAACATCTGTCTTTGAAAAAATAAAAGTTGTTTTATTTCGAGCTTATGCTTTAAAAATAGGCACTGAGTTAAAAAGTATCGTCAAGATGGTACCAGAATATGGAATATTTTACCGTGCTTCTATGGAAACACCAAAATCTCGGTAATTTTTACCGAGATGCTTTGATTATGTTTTTGGTAAAATTGACAATACAATATCTTTTTTATAATATATGTGATAAAATTTGGTAAATGTGGTAAAATTTGGTAATTTTATCATGAACCAATTTTTTTGGGTACGGAGCCCTAAATAATCCACCTTTTTTTAGCGAAACCCCATCTTTATAAAGATAGTTTAAGGCTCATTATGCTCATTATTATGCTCATTATTATCTATGAAAGACTATATTTAAAATACTTAATTAGAATAATGAATATTTTTTATTGTTTTATCATTAATAATCTTAAATTAAGTTTTATGCCTGAAGTGAAATTTGTAGTCCTTGTGCTATATTTAGTCTAGTTATAAATTTGTTTCTGGTGTATAGTATATACACCAGAAACAAATTAATATCTAGACTAAATGGTTAACTTTATTTGGAACTTTTCAGATTTGTTCTACTAGATGTGAGGTAAGAAGAACTATAATTTTAAAAACCAGAATTTTCAGTAAAGCGTTGGCATATAAACGAAAAAATTACCAAATTAATGGTTTGAATACCATCTATTCAAATATCAACCAGAATTGCGTTTTCTTTACCAGAAACGTTATTACCGTACAATACGGTAATTCTACCAGATTTTCTTCCTCCGCCTGGGCTTATTTAAAATTAATTAAGAAAATGACATTTTTATTTATTACTATAATCATTTTATATAAATATGCTACCGGCAAAGTATGAAATCCGGCATTGTATAGAATCCCTAGGCATTGTATAGAATGACTAAAACTAGCCGGCAAAGTATGAAATGATTTATACTTCACACATTGCCTAGGCATTCTATAGAAAGCCAAATGAGAAACCGGCAAAGTATGAAATAAACGTCTTGATGAGGTTATTATGTAAATGATGAGCATGTTACTGTGAATGACCGAAATCGGTGGTTGTTGACTTTCACCGGTGAATGTTGACAATCACATAGTCACTTTGGTGAATGTCCCAAATATTTATTACATCCGATTTGATATTAACTTATTCGTGGATATAATTACATTTATTCAATATTTTGATGCTTACTGACGATAGATTAGAAGAAACATCAGTGTAGGGTATACCGGGCAATGGCACTTGACCTTAAAAAAAACATCAGTATAGGGTATACCGGGCAAATGTATACCAGGCAGTGGCACTTGACCTTAAAAAAACAATGCCTGGGGAAAGTATGTAATAATTCTCACATTTCATACTTTGTCTAAAAGCATCCGGCATTCTATACAATGCCGGCGTTTCATACTTTGCCGGTATCATATACATTTTATGTAAATAAGAAAATTCATAAAATTGACTGATATCAAGTTACAAGAAAAAAGTACTTTGTTTGTAATTTGCATCATCTGATTCTGTAAGAATTATTTCCTTGCTCGTATTGAAAACAATATTACCAAAATTAAAAAAAATTTTTATTCATTTTAGGACATTAAAATATTATTGAAAACTCATGTTATTACTTTTGGAATATCTATAGTACTTCTGTTGCCTGCTTTAGGAATATTCTTTTACTACCGGTGAGTACTTTTTTCAACAGTTTTAAAAAATATGTTATTTTTGTTATTCTTGTTGAAATTATTCCAATTTTTATGAATGAATAATTTGCTTTAGCTGTTTTTTTTACATTTATGAAGAGGCAACCAGGAATAACACTTGCAAAACATTATTTTTTTTTTCGTAAACAGGGTGTTCTGTATTTACCACCATTAACATTTATTTTAAAAATAAGTTCAGAAAGGAAACTGGAAGAACTACGCACGATAGGGGTCGCAAATTGGTATTTTGATGAGAAAGAATAGAAATGTATTCATACTTTGACTTATCATTACTGAGGTCAATAAGAACAAAGGAGGGACTAAAATCATTTAAAACTAGTTCCTCTAGATGTGAAGTTTAAAAGTTGTTTCCCCACTGTAAAAAAACTAACTCAAACTGCAGTGGAAAGTACTGGAACCCAGAGGGCAGCATCCTTAATTTTTTTTTTATTCATCCATTGATAATTATTTAATTGATGTGATTTAGAGATTTTATAGTAAATATTACTGTACATAAAAATTACGGTATATTAGATTTTTGCTCCCTAAGATTTTACTGTAAAAAGTTCCGGCCTCCTGAGTGCTGGTTCTTTTTACCGTAATTTGGTCTGAAATTTTTGACAGTGAAGGAAAAGACGATTGTTTTCCTAACAGATAAATAATTTGGTTTTATTTGATTTAAATTACCTTATGAAATGAATATTATGTGATTTTAATATATAAGAGTTTAGGAAAGTTTATTCTATTTCGATATTTTCAAAGTTTTTGGACATTATGAAATTGCTGTATCAATGCTTCTTAGCATAGAATATTGAATTGTAAACATTTCATTATTGTTGAAATTTTATCGATTTTGCTCTCAATTTCAAAATGTTTATTTCTATAAACTCCTAACAGCTTTTGGTCCGATCTCTTGACAACTGCTCTGGTGTGATCCGTCGTCATCAATGCACTGTAAAAAAATCCAGATCAAATTACGGTAAAAAGCACCAGCACTCAGTGTGCAAGTACTTTTTAATGTACAAAAATCTGGTATACCGTGAGTTTTATAGAAATATTTACGATAAAATCTCTGAATCACTGTAAATAAATAAATAGTGCTGAAAAATTGCGGTATAAAACTGCACACAAAAAATCGGATCATAAATTGGATTTAATAAATGCTGCACTCAATGTACCAGTACTTTTCGTCTTTATTTGATCCGAAATATTTTACTGTGTAAACAATACAAATTATTAAAAAAAACGCAATTTTTAATTGTAGAATGGCATACCAGCAATTACGTAATAATGTATACCCTCAGCAGTTAGAGCTTAGATGAGTGTCGGAAATTGTCTCTAACATAATGTTAATATTTTAGAGTGCAGACAGATTTAGCAACCGGTCTTCGCACCACACTTCCCAACCATTACATTACGTGGTGATGTGACTGTACTTTGTGACTATGAGGAATTTTTGATAATTTTTGTGCTTCTAAATATTAATTGCCATTCATCTTTTCTTATTTCAGACAACTTCGAGTGTACCGAATATTCATGCACAAGAATCTCTTTATCTCCCTTCTACTTTCCTCCACATGTGTGGTAGTATTCGAAAGTTACTTTCTTGTCGATTCACTTCAGAGCCCAGATGACAATATTCTCGAATCGAATGAGGTAGGAGCATTTATTTTTCATTTTCTAATATTGGTATAACCTCTGTTCAAACTTGATTATAGTTAAATATTTGCGTTAGTGATACGGTGGACAGCTCATCACATTTGCTTTTAGAATCACTGTCAAAAATGAAGTAAAAAGATCTATGCACATTGGAGGCCTCAAATTAATATTTGAGAAAGAAAGTAACAAAAATGCTGTCAGAATTTGACATATAGCTTGTGAGATAGGTAGGACCGAAAACATTAAAAACCTATTCAATTTGCGGATGAAACACATCGGACTTGAAAGTTGAATATTAAAAACATCTCCCTGTTCCATCAGAAAATCAAACAGATTAATTTTATCTTTTTTCATCCCGCTTGTCTCGTTAGTGATTCGATTGATTTGGATAGTGATTTTATTCTTTCTTCACTCTTATATTTATTTAAGACAGCAATATAAATAATTTTTAACTTACTTTTTTGACAAGAACTCTAAATCCATTTGAAGCTAGTAAATCGTAATTGATATTGTTTTTGTTTTTTTTTTTTTTAATATTGTTTTTTTTATTATATATATATAAATGAGAAAAACTTTTAGGATTGATCTCACATGAGCAAAATACTTTTTCAATAAAATATTTTAGTGATGCAATTTTTTTATGATTAATAAATTCTTAGGTTACTAAATTAAAAAGATAGGATAAAATAATTTCTCATTTTTAGGTTGGATGCAAAATATTTTACACAGTGACAAAATATTTCAGATTAACGACATACATGTGGATGTTTTGTGAAGGATTCTATCTTCACAAACTGATTGCTGCAGCTTTTGCCGAGCAAAAAAGCACACTAATTTTCCACGCTATTGGATGGGGTATGTATTTACTAATATTTGAATGTCTAATTATTTTAAGAATATTTAGTTCTTCTAAAAATTATCTGGTTCTTCCGAGAGAATGTAATTTTCAGATAATATATAGTCCTTCTAAAATTATATAGTTTTAAGAATACCCATTTATTAGTCTAGTTCTGTTAAAAATATTTAGTTATTTTCAGAAAAATATCTAATTTTTTTATGAGTATCAAGTTCTTCTGAGAATTCCCAGATCTTCAAAAAGAATATCTAGTCCTCCCAAAAATGTGTTGCTTAAAAATACATATTTATTAGCCTTTTCCTTTCTTTGTTCTTTTAGAGTTTTTGTTCTTTGTTCTTTTATCCAGTTTCTTTTTTCAAAAAAAAATAATAATAATAGTCGAATTTTTTAGAAAATTCTCATTCTTTTAAAGGAATATCTAGCTTTTTTTTAAATTATTTAATTTAAAAATTAAGTATTTTTTATGTTTTTATGTCTACAGTTCTTTAAAAATAATTAGTTTTTTTTAAATAAAATAAAAATAATCAGCTCTTTTTAGTATATTAAGTTTTAAGATACATTTACCCAGATAGCACCGTTACCAGATTGCAGCAAAAATGCGACAATCACAGAAACTCATTTGGAAAGTCACATGTGACCTCTGCGACGCCGATGCGTAAATTATCGAAGGTTACTATGTCCGCCTTTGGAGACGTCACATTTTGACGTCATTCAGACGTCAACACGAGACACAATGAGACATATTACTGTCGCCGTCTGACAAGAATATGACATGCTCATGTTTCAACGTAGTCCCACAGTGACTATTGAGACGTAATTATCACAATTTCTCCACATCGTGACTCTGTTGAGACGTGAATAAGTCTCATCTTTGACACATCGTGATCCAGCTGAAACGTGAATATGGCACACTTTCGTCCTTCGGTGATCCTGTTAAAACGTAAATATGACACAATCTCGTCACACTGTGACCATTTTGAGACGTAAATAGGTCACATCTACGTCTCATGGTGAGATAACGTCACGTATCGTCACATGTGAATTCAGTAATGAGTTTCCATGACTGTCGCAATAATTGTAACTTGTTAATATATATAGTTCAAAATGAAGATAAAACAAAGGAAAATTACAGACATAGGAAAAAGGAGTGGAGGGAAAGAAAAATAATAATAAAAAAAAATAACAAGCAACTGAGGGGAAAAAAAGGATGAAATTCTTTTAAAAAATCCGGAAAGTAAAACATTTAATCTTTTCATCAGCCCACACGATTATATCCGCAAAAAAGAGTGCTTTCTGATATTGTATCAATATAGCCAAAGCAAAATATATTAATACAATAGTGTGAGGAGTACTCAAAAAAAAAATTTCAAAAATTACAACAAATAAAATAGAACACATTAAGTAAAAATAACACGTAAAAACAGAAAATAAAATAAAAGAAAAGGAAAAAACAGAATAACGAGTAGCGAATTCAAATGTACTTACATGAACGGGAAATTTTTCAGGAATGATTTAAAAATATATTTTCGTAACAAGTGTTACCAGATTGCAAAATATGAAAACAAAAGCGCAAATTGAGCGTAACAAGAGGATTTTTGTTTTAAAGTGCTGTTCTTACTGCATTGCTGAAGTGCGTTTGATTTGTTAGTTACCAAGGATGGGCCCGAAATGGATGTGCGCAAGGTAATATTATGCTGGATAATTTAAAGAAGTTGACTATAAACAATTTTAGAAAATGAATATTTATTTAAGAAAGAAATATGAAATAGAGAAAAGAAACATGAATTGCCTGTTTTGCACATAATTTTAGCCACGGATTTGCCCGAAATGGATTTGCACATGGAAAAATTATATCAATTAACAATATGTANAATAATTATGTGTTGTAAGAATGATTATTTTCCATTTTTTATAACACATAACATATTTTATTAATATATTATTTTTAAAAAAATAGATTTTTAACATAAATATTAAAGAAAATAATATATTTGCTGAAAACTTTAATAATATTTGTACTAATTTAAAATATCTGAATGCATGTTTATGCAGCTCAGTTCGTTTGATATATCTTTTAAAACTTAATTTTGCTAAAAGTTATTTTTTTATTTTTAACTGCTATTACCATAGAGATAAAATTTTATTTGGAGCTCTTAGCTGGATGACAATAAAGGATTGCAGGATTTATCGTCATATTATCATAAATGGAAATATATCCTCAGTCAATATTTTGCCGTGCAAGCTTGATTGCTCACATTTATTTAGAGCTCAGTGCCTAATAACAGTTTAGAGTTCAAATCGCCTCCTTTGCGATACAAGTAGAAGCTATAATAATTTATCGACAATCCATCTCTTCTGACGTTAATGAACAAACGTATACAAAACTAAAGTAAAATTTAAAAAATAAATAAATAATAATATGAGTAAAACATTTTTAACAATTATCTCCTTTTTTACTGTGTATCATCAAACTATTTTTTCTTGTTAATATTCATGAAAAATTATGTTTGTTAATATGTTTGTTAATATTCATGAATTAACTTTTTACTCTATTTCATTATGTTATTTAACTTATTACTTTTACTTACTCCTTTAGGAAGTCCCATTATTCCTGTAATAATTTGGGCTATCGTTCGACACTTAAAGGCAGATGAAATGTGAGTAACACATAAATTTATAAGGGTACACTGTAAAAAATTCCGGATCAAATTGCTGTATAAAGTACCTCCACTTAGGGCGGCACATCATCGGTAAAATCCTTTTTTATCGTAAAATATTATTTTTATAGTAATATTTATTTAATTAGAGTGATGATGATTTAATGGTAATTATTACTGTAAAAATTGCGGTATATCAGATTTTCTGTTCCGATAAAAATGGATTTCACATTTAAAAAAAAAAAAAAAAAACAGGAATATGAGTGCCGGTACTCTTTACCGTTATTTGATTCGGAATATTTTACCATGTATTCGATTTTTTTTTCTTTTTTTTTTTTTTTAGAAATAACTTATTTTACAGTTATGTTACAGGTGCTGGATTGTACCAACAGATCAGTATGAGTGGATTCTACTGACTCCAAAGCTGATAGCTTTAGTGGTATGCATTTTAATTTCAATCCGATAAATAACAACGGAAAAATAGTCAATCAATTAAAATCTAAAAATGATTAATCAATTAAGTAACTGGTTAATTTTAAAAAAAATGGAAAGAGATAAAAATGCATGGTTAGCTACGTTCTGCTTCGGAAACCAAAGAATTTATTCTCGCAAAAATTCAAAATTAGTAACAAAATTCGCCAACATGTAGCGCTGCTGATTATATAAAACTGTAAGACAATGTTTTCAAAATAAGCTATCTTTGCAACAACAACGTGGTGTAGTCTGAGGACAAATTTGCCTCTTGAGATTGTAGAATAAATGCAAAAATGTGATTGTTGCAAAATTGCAATAGTAGATTTTTACAAAGAAAGAAAATAAGAAGAAAATAAACTCATAAATGTAATTTTAAAAAAAAAAATTTTTTTTTAAAATTCAATAAATTTAGCTAAATTAAATTTTTTAGTCATTTTTATAATCAAAAAAAATATACATTTTATTTTTTTGCCTCTTTTTTTACGCTTTGTAGAATATTTTTAAAGCGTATTTCATCACATTTTGGTCCTGAAACAAGATTTGCTGGAAACAAATAATAACATTTTATATGCCATAAATATTCTAAAAAGTAAGTACTACTTTTCTTAGAACTTTATAACAGAAAAAACAACATTAAAATACACTTTTAAGTGATAAAATTATAGCTAATGCTGTCCAATAGATCGGCCTAGTTTGTCTTATGTTAAACAGACATCTCAGCAAATATTCAGTTGGAATCGTCAGAAAATAATGTTTTATACTTTCTCTAGTCTGTAACGCCACCTGTTGCAAACCTTTATAACTAATTTTAAAAACTGATCAGAATATACCGTCTTGTTTCGTAAGCAATACGCAGTTCACGATACATTCTTATGTCTTTTCGTTTCACTCTAATTGATTTTTAACTGTTGGTTAACCTGTTGGTATTTCGGTAGGAATGGCGAATGACCAATATAAATAATCAACCAAGAATCTTTTATTGAAAACTTTAAATCATATTTTCTTCAAAAAATTTCATATTTTTTAAGCGATTTGCCATTTTTTATAGAAGGGGTTGCTTCAAACAAATTGTGTACGTTCATGTTTTATTTTTATTTTTTTCTGATAATATTATAAAATGCAACGAAAAAATGCGTTATCCACCTTATAATACACTAATTATTTCCGATTTTTAAAAGCCAAAACCCGCTGAATCTCTTCCATTTCAAAATATATCTACATCATCGTTGCTGCCTAAAACATTGCATACTTTAACAGATCGGAGATTTTAAACTATTTTTAATTCTTATGTAAGTTAAAATTCATTTTTTAAATTTTTTCCATAAGATCCGGCATTTTTCGTAGAATATATGCCACTAATTTGGAGCAAAAGGTTCAAAAAAATAGAGGCTTAAAACTTGTATTTTTATACTCTATTCAGTCAGTCTGTATGGGAAAAGCAATAATATCACAAAATATACAACACGACCTCACTATTATAAGGAAGAAATTATAAGCGCTTTCAAAAACAAGCTTATTTATCATTTTAGCTGTTTTATAATTGCAATTTCCCTTAAAATGCGTGCCGTTGGCACTATATAAAAATTAATTCTTTTATCATTTAAAAAAAAACTTCTTTTAAAATATGTTGTTTTCGACTTTTTGTTTACAATTTTAAAAAGTCATTATATTAATGACTTTTTTAAATTGTAAACAAAAAGTTTCCTCCTTAAAAAAATTCAGAAATGAGAAGATATAACTGAAAAGGTTTTATTCTTGACTTCAATCAGGAGTCTAAAGAGACAAAACACTATTTTTTTTTCACTTTTTTTCATAGCTAAGATTGAAATGAGAAAACGAAAACATTGTGCTCAACAGTAAAACTTCATAAATTTCCAAAGTATGGGAAGAAATTTTAAAATAATTTTTCAACTTTTATTTATAGTTAAGTCGCTATTGTATGTTTCATATGATTTTCAACACGTTGTATCATGTCTTACTGAAGTACTCATTTCCATATCTTAAAATGCAGGATCAAATCGCCCAAAGTTGTATGAATATGTTTGCAAAAAGTGTATTTCAGTGTGCCATTTTTTATTCATTCTCAGAATAATCGTTCAAATGTTTAATTCTAATATCCACATATTAAACTTCAGTATCATGAGAGTTTGTTCCTTAATTTAAAAAGCACTAAATTGAACTATTAATGCGTAATGAAGCGTTGGAAAGTCGTCAGATTGAACTACTATTATGAAATGAAATGTAGGAGCGGCATAAAGTTGACGAATAATCATGTAATGAAATAAAAGAAAATCATTAGGTTGAACCCATATCATGTAATGAAATGTAGGATAGGCATTAAGTTGAAAAATAATCGTGCAATTAAACGTCAGAAAATTATTAGGTTGAACCACTATCATGTAATGAAATGACTATATTAATTCCCTGATTATGCATGACATTAAGAATCTATAAAATGAACTTTAAATCAAAATAGATTTCATTGGAAAGTTTATTTACTCTTTTCTTAAGAATAAAACTGCTTGTTAGGCTTCCAATTATTTCCCTTTCCTACTTTTTAATAGGTACCATATTTCAACATATTTTATTTAAAATGTTCTAAAATTTTCTATTTTAGGTAAATTTTGGGTTTTTGGTTCACATTGTTCAAATAATAATTACAAAACTACGATCCAGTAAAGTTGATGAGCCTGCTCAGTTTAGGTAAAATGAATTTTTGTTTTAAATAAAATAAAGCCTAATTATAGTGTGTAAATATATGAAATATAAATATAAAAAAAAACTATATCCTGCACTAGACTTCATTATACTTTTCTTGTCCGTTGTCTCTCCTTAAACATTTATTTTTATTTATTTATTTATTTTTAATTTTACTGCAAATCACGCATTTGAAGTATATACCTAAATTCAGATTCAAATATTCCTCTTCTATATAATAATAATAAATAAACCACTCCTTTTTCCTAATCATCATGTTTTTATCAAACTGTTACTATTTACTCTGACACTTAACTAGTTTCTAGAATTAACACAAGAGGGCAAGCATAATATATTAATACATCTTATTGTCTAAGTAAAAATCGTAGTGTGTTTCATCAAAAACTCTCTTTTGAGCAATTTTATAGATGTGGCATGTGATTATATTGTCTCAAATCTTTTCAATTGGAATTGAAAAAGCGTTGATATTTCAAAATAAAAAGAAATCGCATTGCAGTAATTTTTAACTAAATTATTTAATACAAACTAAAAAAAGTATATCACGCATTGAAGCAATTTAAAAGCCACACATTTTTATTTTAATATTCTTCGCAGTCAATCATCGTTAAGTCAAACCTCAGTTTTGCAAAGTTCTATTCTAGAAAAATTCTATTTCGAATCTCCTTTACATACAATGCTAAAAAAAAGAAAAAACTATTTCAGCGAATTTCATTTATTTATTTTTATTTATGTATCATTTATCGGTTGTTGCTTTTTTCGATAACTTTAATTTTTTGAATATAGAATAAGAATAAAAAAATTAGAATAAAAACATTTTAAAAAAATAGTTCATGCAAATAGAAAAGTTATTTTAAGATTTACTGTGATATTTACTTCACTTTAAATTCATTTGCTTTTTTCCCTTTCTTCTTTCATTTTAAAATACAAAGAAATGTACCTTAAAATGAAGGGGTGTAATGAAAACACATTGACAACAAAGTCTCGATTGACCCCCTAAGAGGGCGGTGAAAATGGTTTTAAAACAATTAAACAAATTCCTGTAATTTCATAAAATGGAATTCAGTAATTTTATAACCGATGATTATCCTGTAACGGTATGCATTCAGTAATACGCTTTATCCTAGCGTTTCAACGGCAGATGACAAACATTTTCTTGTACAAAAGAAAACAGATCCGTAATGTTGGGCATATCGCCTTTTCACCCGATCTACTTAAAAGTAATTCTATCGCTGTGCAATAAGCTGCATACCAGAGAGCGGTTCGTAAAAATAATGAGCCTAATTATTTGACAGTAAATGAGCTTATTAACTGCTTTCTTCATTTCTCATCAAATTTGATGAATATGAAAGAAGCATTTCAGACTCTCCGTAGGGAAAATGAGGAAATAACGCCATTCATATTCATGAACTTTATTTTTTAATAAAAACAAATGAAGAAAGCAGACTTCACAGCGAAAAATTCCAGATCAAATTATGGTGAAAAGTATTGGCACCCTGAGTCCCGAAAATCAATTTTTACCGTAAAATTTTATACCGGAAATTTTACAATAATATTTATATAATTTCGGTAATTCTATTGTGAATATTTCTATAAAAATGACGGTATATCAGATTTTATGTTCCTAAAATTTTACTATAAAAAGTTCTTCAACCCTGGGTGCGGGTACTTTTTACCGTATTTTACGGTGTTGTTTTACCTGTGCAAAATTGAAAAATATTTTTTTTTAATAATTATTAAGGTATTTGTCATAAAATAATTAATAATATCGTTAATAATATTTTAATATTTTTTCTCAAATTCAGTTGTAATTGTAGTACATTTACGTCGCACTAGAGCTGCAAAATGGGCTATTGGCGATGGTTTGGGAAACATCCCTGAGGATGATCCGAAGACATGCCATCACAATTTTGATCCTCTGCAGAGGGGATGCCAACCCCGCTTCGGTAGCCCGACGACCTGCACACGAAGTCGAGCACTTTACGGTAGAACAGTTTAATAAGGACCAATACCGCACTCCCTCGGTCCATACGCAAACTGATCCAAGTGGTCACCCTCCCGCACACTGACCGCAGCCAGTGATGCTTAACTTCGGTGATCTGCTGGGAATCGTGTCCTAACCATCAGTCCACTGCGGGACAAAATGGTATAGCCTTCTCAAATTCAGACAAATGCTTGAATATATCCCCATCTCCCCAAAATCGAATCTTTTTTTATCTGGTGTCTTCTTGAGATACTTAACCATTTCCTCATTTTTCAGACACCCTGTGTAATTAATAAATTAATTAATAATTTAGTAGTAATTATCCACTATCCATTACCACTAGAAATAAATTGGTAATTTTTTGGAATTGTTAAAAAAATGCGAATTGTTCCATTTCCGTTCCATCCTAATCGCATTGTTCTATTTTTTTAATCGATCCAGAAAATTAATTTTGTTTTAAATTTAAAAACCTTCTAAGCACTGTGAGGGAGATATTGTTTAATATTCACTAACATAATAATATACAGAAATAAGTAAACCCCCTACTTTTTTTTAATTCTATTACAGAAGAGCGGTTAAGGCAACAATGGTTCTCATACCTCTGTTCGGTTTGCATTTCCTTTTCCTCAGTTACCACCCAATCAAAGGTGATTGCCACATATTGTTAATTTACAGTATAGCTCTTTACTCGTTAGATGGTCTACAGGTAACAGTTATTATCCATTTCTCTCATTATAACTCATCCTATTTAGTTTCTCTCTTACACTGAATTTTTCCCTTCCATTTCAGGGGGGCATTGTGTCTCTCTTATTTTGCTATCTAAACAACGAGGTAAGTCAAACATCTTATTTTCAGTCATAAATTCTTAATTAACTCTTACTGGAAATTCTTAACTTAAATTGATTCTCAATTCACACCTTAGCTGATTTCATTAGCCCTTTGACGCAGAATTTTTAATAAAAATATTTTTCATACTTTTTTTTCTCATTATTTTGTATTGATTAAGGTCAAAATAAGTAAAAAAAATATTGCACTTAGTATTTTTATAATTTATAGTTATGAAATACAGCATAAAACACCAGTGTCTTTTTTTTCTTCCTTTTTTTTTTTTTTTTTTTTTTTTTTTTTTTTTTTTTTTTTGCATTTAGGGCAAAATCTCCTAAACACGGCTCATTTTCAAACAATAATTTCTTAAATTTGCACCGATTTAGATCTAAAAGAAACATTTTTTCATCATTGAAATTTCATTGATTTACTAAATCAATTATTGATAAATTTTTGAATATTAATGAAAAAGATTTTTTTAAACTACTTTTTTTTTATTTTAGTACATAATTTCCATATTTTAGCGGATTCTTCTTAAATTACTATTAGACTGATTTTTTATGAATTAAAAAAATATCAAAATATATTTTTGCTTGTAATTAGAGCGTCAGAAAAAGAAATATATATAAACGAAACATTAGTGTCCCATCTGCGTCAAAGGGTTAAACCGTGCCAATTTGCGTACTTAAAACAACTTTTAAGGTTTCGATGATACCAATTCTTGAAAAATGTCTGAGCGAACCTTTTATCAAATTGAGGAAATTGCTATCTTTACTTAATTGAGGATGCGAGTTTCGCATTAGGCTTTGTGCAACTTATCAATGAATACAACTGTTAGGAATATCAACATAAAGTAAAAAGAGTATGAACTTAGAGACAGCCAAGAAATAAACCCAGGAAGCCTTCTTACCAAATGAGTGCGCAAAGCCCTTTACCATCCCGCCATACAAAGTGATTTTAAAAGAATGTTTGTAACTTGCCTGATTATGTCACCACGAGTATACGTTGTCCTCGTTTAATTTTTTATCCAACTTACTTTATTGAAGTGATATTTTGTGAAAGCAAGACTATGTCCTCACTCCTCGACAGGTTTTGTTGCTGAGAGATACCCCTGTCTAATTTTACCACCACTAGATTATGTCCCGGCCTATTTATATCAATACGAGTATAAGTTGTCCCCTATTAATTTTCTATCTATGATATTTTGCTAAAGCGATAATTTATTAACGCAAGATTATGTTCTCGCTCTTGGACAAATTTTGCTGATAATATTCCTATCAAACTTTGGCTCCACGAGATTATGTCTCAACCTGATTATGTCACTACGAGTATTTGTCGTTCCCCATTCATTTTGGCACCTCAATTATGGATGGTGTTTTCTACACTAGGGAACGCTGCAAGCTCGGGACTGCCTAAATTTACGGGTTACTGTTCCAGTTGCATTTTAAAGCCATTTGGCATCATTGTGTTTTGAGATTCTTGCAAACAATGTGTTTGATTACTTGTTACTTATGTTTACAATGCTAACAATACTTGTGTTTACAATACTAAAAGCGTTAACACTAACGTAAGATGGTGCACAGCTTGCAACACGAACAAACAGTAATAAACAAATGGAAAGAGGCGAAATCAAGACTGCCAAAAAAGCGAGTTATTCAAAATCTAGCAACCATGTCACTTTTTTCAATAATAAATAACAAAATAACTAAAACAAATTTTCACTCCCAACTCCCCAGAATTACATATTAACATTAATATCTTATAAAATACGGCAGATTTGAGCTCAGAAATTATCTAATTTATCTCTTTTATTGAAAACAAAATTATCCGTTTAAAAACATCGCCCATCAGAATAACATGTAGTAAGCAGCTGCAAACTTTTTAACCGGAACAAGANAGTTGTAGTTTTAAAAAAATGGCGTTTACAGGCGGAGGGAATTATGAATAACCTTGTACATCAAAGCGATATTTTGTCAGAATGAGATAATTTCTCATCGGCATTTTGAAATCAAATACATGAAAATTATTTTTCTTTTTTTTTTTCTATTCTAGGTTATATATTTAATAAAGCGCTCTTACAGACAAAAGAAACTGGAGAGAGACATAGCAAATAACGCGAACAGTCGCAGAACACGTGAATCTCGGACTTCTCTATCAACAAACATCGTATCTGTTCATCAGGAGGGACCTTTGTCAAAATCACTGAGGAAGAAATGACAAAAACTGAGAAGGTGCGAAGAGCACCTTCGTCGAAAATACAAGCCTGTACTCGTCACAGCTCTTTGATCGATTTTTGCTCGGCGGACTACGCACATTGTGATTGAACTAAACAGGGGCAAAAACTACATTATAGAAGAGATATACGACTTTATATATCTGATATACTTACCAATTGAGTAATAGAATGACTTCAAATAAATACGTATTAATTATTTAACACCGTCTAATTGAAATGTGATGATGCCATCCCATTGAAGACATCTTCATATGAATTAAGATTACTTCATATATATGACTTGATATGTCTGATATACTTACCAACAGAGTAATAGGATGACCTCAAATAAATACATATTAATTATTTAACACCGTCTAATTGAAATGTGATGACGCCATCCCATTGACGATATCTTCATATGAATTAAGATTAATTCATATATATGACTTGATTTGTCTGATATACTTACCAACAGAGTAATAGGATGACCTCAAATAAATACGTATTAATTATTCAAAACTGTCTAATTGAAATGTGATGATGCCATCCCATTGACGACATCTTCATATGAATTAAGATATATATGACTTCATATACATGACTTGATATGTCTGATATACTTATTAACAGAGTAATAGGATGACCTCAAATAAATACGTATTAATTATTTAACGCCGTCTAATTGAAATGTGATGATGACATTCCATTGACGACATCTTCATATGAAATAAGATTACTTCATATGAAAGAGGCAGTAACTTTGTTCTTAAACTTCGCCTGATACCGTGGTGTCGTTCTAAAATACGAACACTTCTTACCCGTCTTTGATCTTGATTGAATCTTTTTCGGACAACGCACATTATGATTGTTTAACTCCCTGGACTGAACAGAGGCTAAAAAAAATCAGCACAAACAAAATACATGTCTTGATATGTATTCTTATACAATTATCAACAGCGAAACAGGATGACCTCAAATTGAATACGTATTAATCATTTAACATTCTCTTATTACTACGACACATAATTAAAATGTTGTTATTATACCATCCCATTGATATAGCATAATGACTTCATATGAACTTTGTTCTTCTGTAAATCATCTAATTATAGTGGTATCGTCGAAAAAACAAACCTGTAATCGTAACGATTCTTTTTCGAACTAAGCACATTGTAATGTTTTAACTCTCTGAATCGGACAGAAGGAAAAGCAACATTACAGACAAGAAGTGCCAAAATACATGACTTATTTATATATATGTTTATTTTGTTAGAATCATTAACACTATAATAGGATGACCTCAAACAAATACGTATTTATTATTTAACATGGTCTTAATACGATATTTCAGTGAATTCATCTTATTTAAAATTATAATGATGTTATACCACTGACGTTACCATAATATAAAAAGATTACTTAAACTAATAATCATCTAAATACATTAAGGTAATGTGATTTCATTAAGGCATACTAGTACATACTAATAAGGTAATCACACAATTTAAAAGTATTGCTAATCATACAAATTATAAACTGGCACATCTGCCGAGTTCACTGTGTTTTATTTTTATCAAACAACATTCAAGAATGAATTTTCAGCTAAAAATTTTAACATTTCAGTAAATTTTAAAATTCTCCCATTTTTCTTCCTTCTAGCAGGAAAAAATTACTCTTTTCTGAACTATAATAGTCTTTAATAAAAAGAGTTTGCAATCAGAATAGTCACAAATTAGTAAAAACTTACTTGAATTTTGGCCAATATGCTTATTTGGTATATAAAATCTAATGCAAACAGAAGATTTTTGTTAATTTGTGCTCAGGTTTCAGAAAAATTCTAATGGCTTTTACATACTAATAATAAAAAATTATGAGTTTTGATTTGAACAGTGTTCCTTAAAAGCTGCCCTTTAATAAGTATTTTTATATTCAAAATCTAATCGATCAGTATAGATCTCACATATGATAGATGGTATAAAAATTAAAACCGAGTTTATCAATTATTGGTTCGTTAGATGGTTCTTTCACTTAAATATAAGTTTCTTTTTGTCTTTAAAAAAGCAAACAAACAAATAGGAGAAAAATGTTAAGACTTTTTTAATACATCACTGAATTGATAGAACACTGCAAAGAACAAAAAATAATAATTTTTTTTTTCATTTCTTAATTACAGGCTTAACTGAATTATAATTATTTGTTCCATTTTTTTTGCATCGTTGTATAAAATTTAAATAACTTAAAAGTTTTTATGTATTCGTACCTTGTATTTGCAAATTCTGCAACATGCATGATCGATTAAACAGAATTTTTTTCTGTCTTCACCTATAAATTTGGATTTATGAGAATAGCTCTGCAGATTCACAGTGTAAATTCTACTATCGAGTAAATGTGAATTTCAAATGCCTTAATTTTTGATGGAAAATCTAAAAAAGTATGTCATAGTCAGAATCTAATGAAGAAACACATGTATGGTTGTATGGTTTTTTTGTTATTTAACTGCATTCCATAACTTTTAAATTAAATGTATGGTTTTTTTGTTATTTAACTGCATTCCATAACTTTTAAATTAAACTATATAGGCAGCACATACGTAATTAATATAAATGTTTAATATCTTGCATGCTAAAAAACCATACAATGTTTTATGCATGCTTGTATATTGATCAATATTGCCAAATATGTAAATACCATAGAAAATTGTAAATAAGTAATGTTTTTGTATAAACGTTGACAATTTGTACAAATGTAAAATATATTTGACGCATTGTATAGTAAAATTTTATTTTCAATAAATAAAATTGATTTATATGTTTTTTTACAGTTGTTCTTTTAATATCAGTTTCAACAATGTGAATGCCTATCATCTTTCTTTCTATCTTTTTCTTTTAGCCTGTAATAGTATATCACTATTTTTATTTATTTATTTATTTTTTATAGAGTAACAAAAATCTAATGCTCTTTTATTATTTTTCCATTTAATAAAACATAAATCTTACTCCCTTGAAATGTTTTATGCTGATATTTAATACATCAATCTTTTTTACTAAAATGGTGCAACTAAAGATTTAAAAAATTGTACCTATTGTATATTTTTTATTATTATTATTTTCTATAAAGCCATAAAGTTTCACTTTGTAGCGACACATTTAAAAATAGTTATTAATAACAAAAAACAACCCATCTTTATGCATGCTAATAAATTTATTTTAAATTTTTTTTGTAATACATCAGCTAAATTCGATTAACTCCTTTGAATCTTTTCTTTCTTAATGATAGGATATTTTTTAAAATGAACGTTTTGTTATAGCGATACTTATTATACATTAAAAAATTATTATTTTGTTAGCATGATGTAATATTTATATTTCATAGTGTCATTTACATAGGGAAGAGTTTAGTGATTTTTATTAAACAGATGTTAAAAAAAAATTTAAAACTCACTTCCAAATTCACCACTAAATAGCACAGATTACATAAAAAAAGTTTATTGAAAACTCACTTGAAAATTGACTGCTAAAGAGCACAGAATACATGAATTTTTTTTTATGAAAAACTCGATTCGAAATTAACCGCTAAAGAGAACAAAATACATTTTTAAAAAATTATTAAAAAGGCACTACTGTGGTTGTCTAGAAAGAAGATTGTTTTAAGTGTTAATAACATTAAAAAAAAGAGTTCTATAATGCATCTAAAAATGAACGAGTCATTCTATTAGAAATAACAGAAAAATTGGAAATCCCATTTAAATGTTAAGATAGTGCCTGAAATATATATTTAATACTAAAAAAAGGCTTATTCTATGATGGTTTAAATTAAAAATTTAAACAATGGTCAAAGGCATAGCATGAAATTTTTAAAAAAGCATGTGTTATCTCCTTAAACTGTAAATCTTTTAACATCACAATTCTTCATACAATGAAACAAAAACATAAATAAATATTATTTTATTTAGCCTAGCCCTCTACTAATCAAACACAAACATATGTACAAAAATGATGAAATTTTAATACATAATAAATGATGATTACATTAGCTAAATGGAGAACCCTTTTTATCGTCCTCCATAACAGGAGGCTTAGATAATACAGCATCAATAAGTCCAAATTCTTTAGCTTCTTCAGGATTCATGAAACTATCTCTCTCCATGCTTTTTTCTGTAATAAAAATAGCAGAAATAATATGACTTTAAGGACATTATAAGCGAAAGTAAAATATGTTATTTTTACTAGGTTGATTTTTCTTTGGTTATTGAGGTTGATTCTTTTGTTTATCTCAAAGCTCCTGTTAATAAACAGAAGAGAAGAAGCAATGATATTTCTCAAAGTATCACAAAAGCTAAATCATGCTATACAGTTTTTAGAAAGTCTCAAAGATGTAAATTGATGCAAAACATGACAAAGGAGCATAAAGAAAGATCTTAACCCTTCGAAGCAGATGGGACACCGGTATCCGTTTTTCATATTTTTTTACACTCTAATTACAAGTAAAAATATTTTTTAGTATATTTTTATCATAAAAAAATCTAATAATTACTAAAAAATTCTGTTAGATTATTGGAATAATATTTGTATTAAAATATAAAATCCAAAAAAAGTAGTTTGAATTTTTTTTTTCATTCAGATTAAAATATTTCTCAATAATTGAGTTTACAAATTAGCTAAATTTCAATGATGAATAACAGTTTTTCTTAGATCAACATAACTGCAAATTTGAAAAATCGTTGTTTGAAAGCGAGTTATGTTTGGAAGATTTTACTTTTAACATGGAAAAAGACACCAGAAGCATTTGATGTAGTATTTCATTACTATAATTATTAAAGTGCTAAATATAAAATTTTTCACTTATTTTAACCAAGGTGCGTAACCAAATCTTTCAACAAAAAATAAGCAACTTTTAAGTACTTTTTAAACACTCATAATATATTTTTAAGCACTATATATATTAACAAAATACACAATAACTTTCTAAGACTTTACATGATCATGATAAAATGACTAGTATCTGACAAAGAATTCTTTGCTTAATTATATTAACCACCATAAAAAGATCAAGAGACTTTTCGGTTTGATTTTAGAGGGTGGAAAATGAAGCCTGAAATTGAGAATATCTTGCAAAATGCAGCAGAGTTGCTCATGAGAGTGCTAGAATTTCACCAAACTCAGCTCAGTAGACGCACATGCGGACTCGCAAGTATTTCATCAAATATGGAAAATTATTAGCGTCTTTATACGCTGTGGATCAACGGTAGGCCGAAAAGGATTGTGGTTGAATGAATTATGAAAACGTTGAATAGAACAATGTGAAAAACACGCTTTTGCATGCTGGTGAAAATCGACAAGGTAAAGAAAAAAAATCTCGTTTTCGAAAAGGGAAAATAAAGTATTTTTTAAAAAGACCCAATGAAAAAAGCATCTTTAAGGGCTTTTAAAAAACGAAAAGCGAAAGCAAGCACCTTAAAGCACGTTTTAAAAACGCTACGCACCATGTTAACTTAAATTAAAACAAAATAATGAAATGAAGATAATGTTTAATAAAAATTCCGCATCAACAGAACCATAATAGACAGAATGGGACAAAGTAAGTTTCCTGACGAAAAATAAAAGTGACTAGTGAAAAATAAAACAATGGAACAAGGATTATGTAACAAGGAAATTTTCTTCTAATAATTTCTTTGCATTTTAATATTTTGAAGTATTTTCACAGCAATTAAAACTTCATGATTTACTCTAGGTTTGCCTAAACTTACTTTTTCTTTCTTTTAAAATTTAAATTAGTTATGAAGGAGAGAAAGTTTACAAAGGAAATTTTCTTCCGCGATATGGCGTCCTCTTAACTTCTCTAGCACCTGAGTTCATATTAGTAAAGCAAATTTAACTTCAATTCTGTTTACTCTGACAATACTGCATTCACTTTTCATTAAGGAAATTTGAGTTTAATTGCATGAATAGTTTCTTTATATCATCTACCTATAATTTTATCCTTGGGAGGAAAATTCAAGGCATCAAAAACATGCAGAGGTGCTAAAACATCTGATGAGACGGATTAAAAATTTTTTTTAAGACGTATATCTTTGCACACATTTTATTTAAATCCTAATTAAAGAGCCATGATGGCTCAGGGGTTAAAGCGTTCGCCCTAGAATTAGGCGAACCAGGTTTGAATCCCAGTCAATACGAATTCCGCATCCAGCTTGCACTGACCACAGTGCTGATGTGAAATATTCTCAGTGGTAGACGAATCATGGGTTAGAGTTCTCTTGCTGTCAGGCTAACTGTGGGAGGTTCTTGTGATCTTCCTCTCCATGTAACGCAAATGCGGGTTAGCTCCATCAGAAAGTCCTCCACGCAGACATATTTCTCCCAATACTTGATCCAGGAATTTCCTTGTCCTCTGGATTGGGTTCAAAATTACAAGGCTACGGAGTTGAACATTAGTAGTCGTAAACCCATAAAATTGGGTTGGCTGCTCAACGACGATTATAAAAAATCCTAATTAATGACTAAAATTCTTGCTTACCAATTTTAATATTTGTTTACAGCAAACTGTGGGGTAGTATGGTAGTTTGATGCACAATATTTTTCAAGTATAAACTTACTTGCCAACCCTAAATATAAGCTTGCTAATAGCAAGAGAGTGGAAATTTCGTGTCCTGATTTAAAATATTATATGTTTTTTCATCAAACTTTTCCTGGGAAGAGAAAATTTCAATTAATACTTACCAATAACTTCTAATGGTTGTTTTGTATGGTCGGCGTACAATTGATTGAGTCGTTTCTTCAATAATACAATTTCTTTTGCCTGTATCTGAATGTCAGTTGCTTGACCCTATAAAGAGTAATTGGCTATTTAAAAAAAAAAAAGCAATTTTCAAAACATTTCAATTTTTGTGTTTTAATTATGAAAATTAAATATTTAATAAAAATAGGGAGAAATCTTGAGTTTTATAATATATTTGATAAGGATCTATCATATTATAAACGAGAGCAAAACTAAATATTTGCCCTGTACTAAAACAAGCTTCAATAACACTCATTGAAAAATATAAATGTGAGGTTGTTGACAATATCGTTTACTTGGTTTCTGTAATCAACAACAGGAACAATATTACAATGGAAATACAAAGAAGAATTACTATAGCCAATAAATGTTTTAATGGAATTCGAAAATACATAAAATCTAATGTAATTCATAGAAAAACAAAGTTTTATCATATAAATCTCTTTTAAGATCAATTTTAACATATGCTTGTGAAACCTGGACCATATCNAAGATCAATTTTAACATATGCTTGCGAAACCTGGACCATATCTTGTACAGATGAGGCTATGTTAGGTACCTTTGTGAGAAAGGTCTTAAGAAGTATTTTTGGAGGAGTTCAAAAAAATAGTGTGTGGCTTAGATCAAATCTAGTGTTTTATCACTTATATGTTATCTTATATGTTATCAAATTTTTTATGGATAATGGTAGTTCTGGAAGAAGTTTCTCTAGTTATTCCCTTGTTTTCTAGTGAATAACATTAAAAAAAAGCGAATTTTTGAGAATAAAAAGCTTAGAGAGAAACTAAAACTAGAGAGTTAAAAAAAACTAAAAGTTAAAGCAAAAAAAAAAACAAATAAAACCAATGCAAAAGTACTGATTTTAAAAAAAAAATTGCTTCTAATAACTGAAAGATAGACCATATGAAGAACAAATTAAAAAAGAATGAAGTAAAATACATTAAAAACTTATTTTAATGATAAATACCAAACCGACACAAAAAAATGACAAATAAGTAACTCAATTTATGTTATTCATTTAATTGAAGTTAAGCAGAATTATAATAAACTAAATAAAAACCAAATAATAATAAACCAAAGATTTTTTTTAAATCACCAAACTAACTAATATAAAACCATACCGAATTATAAAGAACAAAAGAAAATGATAAAATACAAGGAAAACTTATTCATCAAATTAAATAAAAATAATTAAAAATTACCGAACAAAAATGATGGTCAAAAGAAGTGCTAACACAAATATTAAAACCCTGGACTAGGCAAGATAAAATGAGAACAACTAAATTTTAAAAAAAATCTTTATCTTAAATCTCATGAATAAGAACAAATTTATTGAATACGAAATTCATTGCAAACAAAGAAAAAAAAACTCAAAGTGTAGTGAAATCAGAAGTGCATCACTTGTAAAAACAAAAAGCTGTAATCTGCTTCATAAAATGCATTGCCTTTGAAGTTTATGCCCATAAATAAAATTTTTAAAAAAATTATATTCTATCCTCATCTTAAACTGTGTAACATGTACTTTTAAATATACAGGAGAGTAAGTAGGAAGTGCAGCTCCCTCCTAAGCGGCTATTTTGTTATCCAGTCTAACCTACCCTTCCATCACATTTGACTGGATAGTCCAGAACCTGCTACAGTGAACTACGATATCCGATACAACAATAACTCCTCCATTACGATACAAGAAACGAATGAAATAAAAATAAAAATATGACCACCGAAGCCGGCATCTTCAGGGGGTACCGGCCTCGGTAGCCATTAAAAACAAAACCATTTCTGATTAAGGGAGAAGCAAATGCTTAAAATATCTTCCTCAGTACCCCGATGGTTTTGTATAGAGGTCCAGGAAAAACAAGATACATTCAAAATAATTAACAAATTAAGAAAAGAAAATCAATCAAAATCATCAGAAAAATAAAAACTCACTAAGTCACAGGTCAAGCATCAACTTCAAAAGCAAGTAGAGGAAAAGAAAACACTAAAAACTGAAAAACCAATGCCCCCTATTATAATGCGTAGAAGAGGTTTAAAATGAAATGGAAAAGGTCAGGAGAAAGAAATACGTAGACAAATTAATAGACCATTTAACGTAGACAAATTAATAGACTCCATTACGATAATGTTTTGTGGTCCCGACAAACTTCCACATGAATTAATGTTATCCTCCTCTCAATATTATATTCTCTGAAGCAATTAAAAGATTTTTTCCCCAAATTTCAACCGTATTTTCTCCATTTATTATTGGTTTTCAAATAATGCAAAAAAATCTTATTTTATCATCTTTTGCGATTTTTCCATTTTTTCTGACAAGAGAAGACTCACTGCTGACCACCCCAAGAGCTTCCATTCTTAGAATTGCCACCCTTATCTCTTAAGAAGTCACAGATATAACATTCCTATCTGATTTCATTTCCTTCATGTCAAAGTTGATCATGAAAAGCATCACATCAACACCTGAAAGATAATTTTTTTCTGAAGAGGGTGGGTGGAGCAGCATTCACAAACGAAAATCATTTTCGTACTTTAAACTCAATGCATACTTTGTTGGTTGACTTAACAGTCAGAAAAATGAAAAAACAAACAAAAATATTGGATTATTTTCAATAAAAACGGTTTTCAGGCATGCTTGCGTTCCTATTTTATTTCAATTTTTTTCATATTTAACCATAATTAACACTCTGCAAATTAATCTTTTACGTAATACCGTCAAACCCCGTTATAGTGAACATGGTTTGTAATGAACTCCCAAAAATAATGAGCGAATTGCTCGCTCCCGTGCCTTGACATACACGTATAACCAAGGATATAGTAAAGGGATATGGATATAGTGAACCAAACGAAAAGAGGAAATTGGTTATTGTGAACTTTTTTCTGTCTTGGACTGATTTTTTTTCTTCATTTTTTACAATTTTGAAATTTCTACATAAAATACATCCCGTGCCTTGATATACACATATAACCAAGAATATAGTGAAGGGATATGAATATGGATATAGTGAACCAAGGGAAAAGAGGAAATCGGTTATTGTGAACTTTTTTCTGTCCTCGACTGATTTCTTTTTCATTTTCTGCTATTTTTAAATTTCTACATAAAATACACATACCGATTTTTAAAACCATCTACGTAAAATGTAGCCATAAGCATTTTTTGCATATTCTATATCAGTTTCCCATCCCTAAATTTTTGTACGCAAGGTAATAAAAAATAAAAGTTAACACATATTTTGTTACAACATATTGTTTCATCATTTTTGTATTTCTTTGCATTGGTCATTCATTTTAATAATGTGTAATAAAAGAGAGAAATTCGGAGAAATTAGTTAAAACTGTTTGAAGTAAGGATATAGTGAACTCCTGGTTATAGGGAACTGAAATTTCGGTCCCTTGACGGTTCACTATATATAATTCGACTGTATATACATTTATAGTTAATACATATATAACATTAAAATTTTTTAAAAAAGTATATAAGCCCTCGATATAACGACAATACAACGATATAACAACAATCTTAATTCCTCTACAACAATATATTTACTTGGTCCCAAAAATATCGTCGTAGCCAGGTTATACTGTATATTTAAAATGTGCATGCTTACAGCTGCTTGACCAGAAGGCTGGTGAATCATAATTCTTGAGTTTGGTAAGGAATGCCTCATTCCAGGCTCTCCAGCACAAAGCAAAAGGCTGGCCATGCTACATGCTTGACCAACACACCAAGTTGAAATAGGAGGCAAAATGTACTGCATTGTATCATAAATTCCCATGCCAGCAGAGACTATCCCACCTAAAAATGTGAATGAAAAATTTTAGTAAAAATCCGAAATGAAATCAACATTTATACTAAACTCATAAAATAAAATGTTTTGCAATTCAAAAGACAAATATCAGGAACTGAAAAAATATATAATCAAGGGAACCCACAAAGAAGATCAAGACAGAGCAGTTGCAACCTCCATACCAGAAATCCAATAAATAAAAAATTCCATTTTGTTTTTGTATGTTATCATTTTTTATTTTAAATAGTTAAAAATGATACATATAATATTGATTATAATATGATTCATAAACAAAACTTAAAGGTTATATTTTCATTTACTACTGCAATTACTTATAAAACAACTGTACTTAATTGGCTAATTTGAAAATACGTGAAGAAAAAAAAAATTTAACAGAAAATTAAAATTTCAAGAATTCACATTTTTATGCATTCATAACATATTTAAATTAAAGAATATAAATAAAGCATGATTTTCGTTAGTTTTTGTTTTAAAAATTAAATAACATTAAAAAATTTAAATTTTTGTAAAATTTAGTTGGTTTAAGTGTTAATTAAATTTATCATAAATTAGGGAAAATTTTTAAAAAGAGTTTTAATTAAATTATCAAAATTGCTAAAATGTCTAATGTGCACATGTAAAGATATTAATTATGAATAAAATATATAAATAATAATATATAAATAAAAATATATAAATATATATTTATAAGGTTTTTTTAAAGATTACAATGAATATTTTCCCTGATTACACTCTTGAGAAAATTTCTATAGGTGCCCTTGCGCATAATACATATTTCTTGTCCTAGAATTCAAAGCTAAAACTTAATCAGAAACCTGCTAAGCCAAAATTTCTAATTTAATGTAAAGAAATAATTTCCTTAAAATTACCAGTTACATTTCTTTTTCTGCAAATTAAACAAAAGAGTTTACTTATTAAGAAAGCTAGCAAGAAAAATATAGCAAGATTTAATTTCTTCATTCTGCGGTCCTCGCCACTCTCACCGCCAGCTTGGCGATTTAAGATCTTCAGATAAAAGCAACCCAGTTATCCTAGTGATATATATTCTGTCCTTCAGAGGAAGAACAGCCACTTACATTTTAAACTTCTTCACTAGCTAGCTTGGTCGCAGGACGACCCATAATGTTTAATTTAGTTTATGTTATATTAATGTTTGTGTTTATGAAATAAATATGTTTTAAGAGAAACTCGCATTTCGTACTCACTTCAATTCATTTAATTTCTATGTTAATCAATGTCTTATTTTTTGCTCCTGATAACATCTAGCAAAGCACTTCACATTTCCGATCAATAAAATACTATTTTTAAATAAAAATAAAAAAATTTACAAGATATTACACAATAGTTATGAATGCTTCAATATTTACTCTAAGTAAATCCTTATATTTCAATATTGAAAGAAAATATTTTAATATTAATAAAAGATATATTAAAAATTTTATGGCTTTACAATAAATGTTGGTTTTAAAAGCAAAGTTAAACACATTTTAAGTATTGTATCCTAGAGTAACACAAAAAATTACCAGGACTGTTGATATACATATGAATCGGCTTTTTGCTGCTCTCCGATTGAAGAAACAAAAGTTGAGCAACTACTAAACTAGACATCTCATCTGTGACCTTTAAATAAGGAAATAAATATGCAAATCTACAACACACTTAACTTAATCTATCTTAACTAGAGAAACTATCAATAACTTAAATATAAATGTTTTATTTAAAATGAAATGTGAGTATTTAATTAAAATATTAACAAAAAAAGATAAAATTTCTAAATACTAGAGATACATTTTTAGGATCAACACTTTAAGGCATTGAAAGAAAGTGGTTAAAATACTGCCCTGCTAAAATATTTTTGTAGACAGCATGAAATATATTTCTTAATTTATAACCGTCGTTAAACAGCCAACCCAATTTTGGGTTTACGACAACTAATGTTCAACTTCATAGCATTGTAATTTTACCCCATTCCAGTAAACAAAGGAGAATTCTTGGATCAAGTATTGGAAGAAATTTGCCTTAGTGTAGGACTTTTTGATGGAACTAACCAATCACATGGAGAGGTACAACAGCATTACATGGAGAAGAAAACCATGAAAACATGCCACAGCAAGGAGACTCTAGCCCATGACCCGTCTACCACTGAGAATATTTTAAGTCAACACTGTGGTTGGTGCAAGGAGGGTACGGAATTCGTAACGACCAGCCATGACTGGGATTTGAATCCGGTTCACTTCATTGAAAAGCGAATGCTCTATCCCCTGGGCCACCACAGCTCCATGAAATCTATAGGTGGTAAGCTAGTTATAAATATCAATTTACAATGCACCTACAAGACTCACTGCAATTACCCTGTTAAATAATGTTGGCAGTTTGGAAAAAAAAAGCATAGCACAATTTTCAATAGGCATACCACAGGGACGTCAGAACTGTGAGGCAGAGAAGGATAATTCCTCTCATTTTATAAATAAAGGGACACAAAATTTTTAAACTAAGAGGGGGGTTCTAAAATTACAATTTTTCACTCAATATTTGTGTGGTTAAATTCACAATTTTAAAAAAATAGATAATTTGTTTGTGTCTGAGTTCTAGAAAGAAAGTTTCAAGAGAGCTTTAACAATATCTGTGGTCAAAATTGCTACTAGATCATCCCTTACTCATTCTCCGCAGAGGAAATATACGCCTCTTTTGCTAACCGAAGGGGAAAATTTTGATTTCAAATGTCGTTGAGAACAGAATAAAAATGGTAGCGAAACAGAACAAAAAGAAAATACTGTTAAATGAAAAATAACTAATTTACAGGTATACAATTTCTGTTATGAATTTTATTTTAATTTTAAAGCAATTCGAAACATAAAGTTAAAATTGCAAGCTTGAATTCTTGATAGCCATCTTCTGAAGTTAAGATCATACGGACACTGTTCATATATATATATAAGGCCAGACTTACTCACACAAGGAGGAAAAGAGCCCACCCCTACTCATGAAATACTTCTGTGGTCACTGGCATATCACGTATTTTTTTTAATTCACATATTTTTTTTAATTTTCAACTAAATAATTCTACATTAAAAAGTTGAACAGGCGAAAATTTCTAAATTTCAATTGTGTAGTTACACAGACACTTCATAGCCTTGTTAAGAAGTAGTTAAAATACTAAAAAGTTAAGCACTATTAGCAGATATTTAAACAATATGTATACCTTTCACATAGGCAAGTATAGTTGCTAATTAACGTAACTGTTATGAAGAAAAAAAGTGTCTTAAATGTGAGAGTAAAAAACTTTACATCAGAATTAATGTTTGAAAAATACTTAAACCTAATATTTTTCTTTACCTAAAATGTTTAAAAAAATTATTCAAAATCATACTTACTGGACCCATTAAACAAATAATTCTTTCTTTTAGAAGCCTAGAATAAATATCATATGCTCTTTCTCCTCTTCCTGTTTGTTCTATTACCATGGGAATCAATGGTAAAAAATTTTGAGAACTTCTGTGGAAGCATCTTGGAACATTTTCAATAACTGGAGCAGGTATTCTTGAAAACTTAAAATTAATATCATAATCAACAAATTATAGATACAACTAAAAGTTAAAACGAGAGAGGATTTCTGTATCGTGATCTGTGACAGAATAATCACAAAGTCTTGGCAATTTCCGGGTGTTGGAACATCACAGAAAGGGATCAACTTGCAATTGGTTACAACTCATAGTCACCTCTGGGCAAACCTTTACATGATAGTTTTTTAAAACATTTCCCGCTTAAAATCAATTTGTTATCTTGACGATTGTAGTTGGTGCGGCAGATCACGATACCAAAATATCTAACTAAACAAACAACAACTAAAAAACTAAACTAAATAAACAATAAAAGTTTCGTACATTGATACAAAACTAAAACTAAGCAAACAACAAAAACATTGTAAACACATATAGTAAACAAAAGTTTAAAACAAATTTTATAAAATAATTCAAATTAGATTGTTTAACAAATACATTTTACACAAAGTTAACATTTATTATTTGTTCTGAAAATCAAATCAAAGGACTACATTCTTAGAGCATTAGAAGTCAACACTTTAAAAAAATTACACTTTTCTAGCTCATTCAAACTCTTATATAAACTCTTAAGATATTTTCAAATATCAACAAACATTGAATGATAAAATAACAAAGAAGAAGAAATATTTTAAACAAACATTACTTTTTTTGCAATCGTTTTAAGAGATGCGAGCATGTTTAATTATAGCACTTGCTTTATAGGAAAATTAGAAACGTTTTCTAAGCGGCAGGTCCAGGTCATAGGTTAAAAAAGCCAGACGAAAAAACGAGAAAAGCTAAATAATTTGCATTAAATGAAGTGATTGATAAAATCATTGATTGATTGTTTGAAAACACTTTAAACTGTCTATTTCTGTAACATTTTAGATTCAATTAGGGTTAGGCTCAGCTTTATCTACATGCGTAATTGACTCATGCATAAGGTTAAGAGTAATTTTCACTGGAGAAAAAATCGCCTGCAAAAGAGATCCTAAGTGGTAAATATTTTCCACCAATCTAATTTTCATTCGCGTGCGATTTTTTGCGTGTGTAAAAACCTCAGGTAAAATGAATAGTCCCTTAGGATATTATAAATCGGATATAATCGGTTTGTTTGTTTGTTTTGTTTGTTTTATTCATTTACGTCGCACTAGAGCTGCGCTATTACGTATGGGCTATTGGCGACGGTCTGGGAAACATCCTTGAGGATGATCCGAAGACATGCCATCACAATGGATATAATCGGTAGAGTGGTATGTACTTTATTTACATCGCTCTAGAACTGCACATTAAGTTATTGACGACAATCTGGGAAACATCCCTGAGGATGATTAGAAGACATAGCATCGCAATTTTGATCCTCCGCAGAGGGGATAGCTCCCCTGCTCTGGTTCCCCGATGACCTGAGCGTTATGGTAGAACAGTGTAATGAGGACTGATACCGCGCACCCTCGGTTCCTACGTAGGCTGATCAAAGTGATCACCCACCCGCTTACTGATCGCAACCAGTGATGAAAATATTTACCCCGACCTGCCCCAATTGAGGGCATACGGGTAAATGTTTATTAAAAACCAAGTAAAAAAAACATTAAAGAACATAAAATACAAAAAATGCATAAAATACATAAGATACAAAAGTCAAATGGCAACAGCCTGTAAACTTTGCGGGCGAACAATACTCTTGAACAAAATTAGTTATCTCAATTAGTCAGAATATTAAAGGCACAAAATTTAAAAACTAATCATAGGGCAAATTGCCTATTAAGGAAACAATTAATCGAGTTACAAATAGTAAAATCAAAATAGTGTTGAAATAGTAAAAGTGGATTAAAATGGTATGAATGACGAGGACAGTTCAAATCCAACCTAAGAACACCATGAGATTTAAAAAAAAAATTTTTAAAGTCACTAAAAGTCCAGTTTCAAGGATAGTCATCCCGGCTAAAAATCAAAATCGCCGAACCAGAGTCTCCAGTGATGAGGTAATTAAAGCGAGAGAATTAGAGTTGACTCAGGGGATATGGAAACGCTGATCCATACGGTAGTTGGACGGCTAGAGTTAGTAAAAATTTACAGTGGGTTTAATGTATCTTCCAAAGTTGTTTTGATAATGTCTTTGATGATTGATCTGCAGGTCAGGTTAGAGTAAATCTGGTGTTCTGTTTTGTTGTGAAAATTGTTGCCTCGTCGTGTTTGAAATTTAGGACATTGAAAAATTAGGTGATGGATGTCTTGTTGTGAGTTGCAATAAGTACATGGGGAAGATTTCCCGAAAAATCTTGCTTGGTGTGTGCCAAACACGCCGTGGCCGGTTAAGAACTGATTAATATAAAAGTTTGCCTTTATTCTTGTAGTTTTTGGATCCTTAAAAAATTTGTAAGTCTGCCGTCCTTTTGTACTGTTGGTCCAGTCCAATTTCCACTGAGCCATAATATGGTTGTTGATTATAGATTTGATCTGAATGGGGGTCAGCCAGATAGTATTTTCTATGGTGTCAAGTCTGATGGCTTCTTTGGCTAGTTTGTCCACCTCCTCATTGCCGGCATGCCCCGCGTGTGCTTTAATCCAATTCAGTGAGATACTCTGTCTCCAAGCATGTTTTATGTCATGAACAATCGTATTTTTATGTGTGGGGTCAGCCAGTGCATGCAATGAGGAGAGTGAATCTGTATAAATTGTAGTTTGTTCTTCCTATCGCAACCAGTGATGCTTGACTTCAGTGTGCAGCTGGGAACCACGTATTTATTATCAGCTCACTGCGGGACTGGTATCCACAGGAAATCACAAGCCAAGCTATATAAGGGAAAAACCACAAGCCACAAGTTATCTTTTATTTCCTCTAAAAATCTGACTCTATTTACAAAAACCGATTTTAAGTGAAGTGTAACGTAAAGACCTTCTAATTAAATGGAATTCACGCAAAGCGACCTCCAAGGTATTCTAGTCCCCTCCTGGTAAAAAAATAAATAAATAATAATAATAATAGTAAATTTGAGTAATGCTAGAGATTGTTGATCAAATAATATAAAATTCAAGTATCAATAAAAAAGAGTGAGTTCGCATACTGATTAAATGATAGCGAGTTCGAACACCGATAAAAAGATAGTGGGCTCGAGTAAGTATAAAAAAAGTGAGTTCGTAAAATTTTCAAATGATAGCGTGTTGGAGTACCGATAAAAAGATTGTGGGTCGAGTATTGGTCAAAAGAGAGTGAATTACAGGAGTACCGGCGTGTCGATGATATTGGGTTCGAGTACCTATAAAAAGAGAATGGTATCAAATGATTATTGAATTATATTAAATTCGAGAACTGATCAAATGAAAGTGTGTTCGAGGAGGACCGATAAAAGATGGTGAATTCGATTATTATTCAAATGACAGTAGGTTTGAGTACTCTGAAAAGAAGAGAGTCGGATTCGAATACTGAAAAAAAGATAGTGATTTTAAGAAATGATTAAATGATAGTAGTCTCGAATATCAATCAAGTGACAATGCGTTCCAGTACCGATAAAAAATAGCGAGATCTAACTGACAATTGATTGAAGTGCAGATAAAAAAGATTTATTTTTTATCCATATCCATTTCATTTTATCATTCCGAATATAATGCAATGGATAGCAGGTTTTATTAGCATTGATCAAAAGAGAGTGGGTTGGGAAACTGATTGAACGGTAGTAGATTTTAATACTGATCAAATGAAATCGGGTTTGAGTACTAATAAAAAATAGTGGATTCAAGTGCCTCTTAGAAGAGGGTGGGTTCGGATACTGATCAAATGTTTGCGAGTGCGAGCACCGAATAAAAAAATAGTGGGGACGAGCATTGGTCAAAAAAGAATGTAATCGAGTATTTATCAAATCATAATAGATTTAAAAACTTAACGAATGAAGCCAGTTCAAGTACCCAAAAAATAATTGATTTGAGCACTGATCAAAAGAGAGTTTGAGTCCCGATAAAAAAGAGAGTGGGTTTGAATTTCGAACAAAAAAAAAAGTTTTTTGGAAATTGATTAAATGATAGTGGATTCGAGTACCGATTACAAGGTAATGGGTTCGAGTAATGATCAAATAATAGTAGATTCGAGTACCGATAAAAAGGCAAGTGGCTCCGAGTACAAGGGCGCCGGCAGCGGGGTGCAAGGGGGTGCACTTGCAACCCCTGGCTTTTTTTAAACAATTAAAGAGTATAAAATTTTTTTTATTAAAAATACTTTTATTCAAAAGCAAATAGTTAAGCAATTATTTATACATAACACTTAAAAATTGTTTAATCAAACAAGAATTGTAATAGTCTTGTTAGCTGTCCAAATCTGTTTATAACATTTTCAATGAATTCTGAGTCATCTTTGATTCTTTTCTTATGCACACTGAGCATGCACAAACTACTTAATCTCTAACTACTTAATTGTAGTACCGATCCCATGTTTTCATGCGTCGCATTGTACTAAAAGTGCGTTCAATAGTGCACGTAGTAGCTTGAAGAGTTAGGCCAATTTTGATTGCCTCCGCTACAGCTGGATAAAAAGGTGTGGCTTCAATATCTAAATCGATGTATTCGAGGGATTCATAAGAATTTTCTCTATTCTAACACATTTCGGATCACGTAAATTCGTAATTTTTTAAAAATATCTTGTTAACAATGAAGAAATGTACAGGCATAGGAAAACATAATAGGAACATCTTCTGTGAAAGAATGGAGTCGTTCTCGACCGTCCAATAAGCGGTGGGCACGTGTCGCAAGAATGTGCCACCTAGTGGTGATGAAAGGCAAGGTATCTGTCTAGCATTTGGCAGTGTGAGATTTGCAAGAGAAAAACCTATTTCTAGCAAAACGAGATTATGTCTGACCTCTCTGGCTTTAAAAGAGGCATGATAATCGGAGCTCGCCTGACAGGAGCGTCCGTGTCCAGAACAGCGAACCTTGTAGGTGTTTCAATGACCACTGAATCAAGGAGTCTGTCGGCATACACAAAGTTCTGTAAGGTGTCTTCGGTGAGGCACAACAGCGGCAAGAAGTCGAAGTTGTCAGACCGTGATAGACGGGTGTTGAAGAGGATAGTCGCTCGAAAACGCAAGACAACACTGCCGGTGATAACATCCGAGATGAATACCCACCTTCAGAACCCTGTATCCATGAAAACTATTCAACAGGAGTTGCATGCTGCTAACATCCATGGCAGAGTAGCTATTCAAAAACCGTTAGTTTCAGCGCGGAATGCTTTGAAGAGACTACGGTGGGGCCATTCTTGCAGATCATCTTCACCCTATGCTTCATACTCTCTTTCCAGGAGAGCGTCCTGTGTTCCAAGATGACAATGCCCCTGTTCACACGTCTCACTGTGTTCAAACATGGTTAAATGAGCATAATTATGAAGTGGACCATCTAACGTGGTGTCCTCAGTCCCCTGATCTCAATATCATTGAGCCTTTGTGGGGTTTTTTGGAGAAAAAAGTCCGTGCTCGGTTTCCTCCTCCACGCACACTCTCTCAACTCGAGACAGCCCTGCGAGGAATGGCTGCAAATTCCAATGAACTTTTGTTCAAGACCTTTATTTGTCAATCCCACGTCGAATGCAAGCTGTCATTCAGGCCAAAGGTGGCCAAACTCCTTATTAATAAAATATTTTCATTTTTTCACAGGTGTTCCTATTATTTTGTTCTATACCTGAATCTTGAAAAAAATTAATAGATGAAAGTATATATAATAACAAAAAAAAAAACGTAATAACAGAATATTTAAAAAAAAGAAAAATTGGGGGGGGGGGTTAGTTTGTTAGACGGTTGCACCCCCTTTTATATTATTCTGCCGGCGCCCTTGTCCGAGTACCTACAAAAAGATAGTGGATTTGAGAA